ACCCAGGTAATGTTCCAGGGACCCGGGTTCAAATCCCACCATGGCAGATTGTGGAATTTAAATTCAATAAAAATCTGTAATTAAGAGTCTTGTGATGACCATGAATTTATTGCCAATTGTCAAAAAACCTATCAGGTTCACTAATTCCCTTTAGGGAAGGAAACTGCCATCTTTCCCTGGTCTCTAGACTCATAGCAACATGGTTGACTCTTAACTGCCCTCTGGGCAATTAGGAATGGGCAATAAATGTTGGACTAGCCAGCAACACCCTCACCCTGTGAATGAAAAATATAAAAAAAAGATATTGGAGAGGTTAACCAAGACATAGTCAGATATTGGGGAATAAGAGAATTGGATATGAGGAGTGAGAGAGTTGGATATTGGGGCATGTTGAGGAGGCAGAGAGTTGGATACTGGGGAGTGTTGGGGAGGCAGGGAATCAGATATTTGGAATGAAGGTCGGATATTGGAGAGTGTTGGGAAAACAGATACACAGGAATCAGGAGTCAGTCTGATATTGGATAGTGAGAGTGTCAGATATTGGGGAAATGAGAGTGTCATATATTGGAGAGTATTAGGGAAACAGCGAGTCAGATATTGGAGAGTGAAAGAGTTGGATTTTGGGGAGTATTGGGAGGCAGAGAGTTGGAGTTTTGAGGTTCTTGGATATTGGGGAGTGAGAAAGTTGGATGTTGGGAGATGAGAGAGATGTTGGGAGATATTGAAGACTGTTAGTAAGGCAGCGTCAGATATTGGAGAGTGTTAGGCAGCCAGAGAGTTGGATGTTGGGGAATGAGAAAGTTGGATAATGGGTAGTATTTAGAGACAGAGAGTCAGATATTTTGGAGTGTTGAGGAATGTCAGATTATTGGAGAGTTGGATATTGGGGAGTATTGGGGAGGCAGAGAGACAAATGTTGGGGAGTGAAAGAGTCAGATGTGGGGAATGAGAGACTCAGATACCCAGGAGTCAGATAGTCAGATATTGAGAGAGTCATATATTGGAGAGTGTTAGGGAGGCAGCGAGTCGGATATTGGAGAGTGAGAGAGTTGAATTTTGGGGAGTATTGGGAGGCAGAGAGTTGGAGTTTTGAGATTCTTGGATATTGAGGAGTGAGAGAGTCGGATGTTGGGAGATGAGAGAGACGGATATTGGAGACTGTTAGTAAGGCAGCATCAGATATTGGGGAGTGTTAGGCAGCCAGAGAGTTGGATATTGGAGAATGAGAAAGTCAAATATTGGGTAGTATTTTGAGACAGAGAGTCAGATGTTTTGGAGTGTTGGAGAGTGGGAGTGTCAGATTATTGGAGAGTTGGATATTGGGGAGTATTGGGGAGGCGGAGAGTCAGATATTGGGGAATGTTGGGGAGTGAAAGAGTCAGACATGGGGAATGAGAGAGTCAGATACTGGATAGTGTTGGCTAGACATAGTCAGATAATTTGAGAGTGAGAGAGTCTATTATTGGAGAGTGTTGGTGAGGCAGTGGGTCACATATTGGAGACTGTTGCGGAGACAGAGTTGGATATTTAGGAGTGTTAGGGAGTGAAAGAGTCGGATATGGGGAGTGATAGAGTCAGATATTGGGGAGTGTTGGGGAGACAGAAAGTCAAATATTGAGAATTGTTGGGGAGGCAGAGAATCTGATATTGTGAATTGAGAGAGTTGGATATTGGAAAATATTGGCGAGGCAGAGTCAGATATGCAGAAGTGAGAGAATTGGATACTGGAGAATGTTGGTGAGGCACAGACTTGGATATTACAAAGTACTAGGTGAGGCAGGGAGTTAAATATTGGAGAGCGTTTGCTGGAGAGAGTTCAATATATGGCAGAAAGAGAGTTAGGTTTTGTAGTGATTCCTGGTCAGTAGATTGTGGATGTGAGGGGTAACATCATGTTGGATAGACAATATAGAAGCAGTGATCAGAAGGTAGAGTGTAGGCAAAGGGTTTATTCTAGCTGAAGATTGTCACGAATGCTTCAGCCTTATCCTTTGCACTGATGTGCTGTGCTCCCCCATCACCGAGGTGGGGTTATTTGTGGGGGTGTCTCCTCAAGTGAATTGTTCAATTGTCCACTACCATTTACGATTGGATGTGGCAGGACTGCAGAGTTTAGATTTGATTTGTTGGTTGTGGGATCACTTACCTCTGTCTTTTTAAAGCTGCTCATGTTATTTGGCGTGTAAATCATCCTGTTTTGTAGTTTTACCACGTTGACACATTATTTTAGGTGTACCTGGTGCAGCTTCTAGTATGCCCTCCTGCACTCTCCACTGAATCAGAGTTAATCCCAGATGGTAATGGCAGAGTGTGGGATATACCAGGTCATAAGGTTGCAGATTGTGCTAAAATATAATTCTGCTGTTGTTGATGGCCCACATCACCTTATAAAGGAGAATATTCTCAATGTGAAGACAGAACATTATCCCCACAAGGACTGTATGTTTGACCCAATTGTCCTGTGCAATAAAACATAGTACAGTACAGCATGGCAACGGGTCCTTCTGCCCACCATGCCTGTGCTGATCATGATGCTATTCTAAACTAATACAGCCTGCCTGCACATGGTACATACCCCTCTATTTTCTGCCTGCTCAGGTGTCTGTCTGAATGCCTCAAACTTCGCTTCTACCACCTCCCTTGGCTGTATCTTCCAGGCACCCACAACCCACTGTGTTAAAAAAAAAACTTTGCTTGCACATCTCCTTTAAACTTTCTCCCCCTCTACCCTATCCATACCCCTCATAATTTAATATAGTTCTGTTAGGCCACCCCTCAGCCTCTGACTCTCTAGCAAAAATAATCCAAGTTTTACTAACCTCTCCTTATAGCTAATAAACTCTAATCCAGGCAACATCCAATGAACCTCTTCTGTACCCTCTCCAAATCCTCCACATCCTTCCTATAGTGTAGCAACCAGAATTGCGCACAGTACTCCAATTATGACCTGACCAAAATCTTACACAGTTGCAACTTCTATACTGAATGCCCTGACCGATGAAGTCAAGTATGCCATATGCCTTCTTTTTACCCCCTTGTCCACTTGTGTTGGCATTGTCAGGGAGCTATGGACTCAGACCCCAAGATCCCTCGTATGTCAATGCCCCTAAGAGTCCAGCCATTTACAGAATGCTTTCCTCTTGCATTTGACCTCCCAAAATGTATCATCTCATATTTGTATAGATTAAATTCCATCTGTCATTTCTCCATCCAATTTTTCAGCTGATCTTTATCCTGCAACATCCTTGGATATCCTTCCTCACTATTTATAACTCCACCAATTTTCATGTCAACTGCAAAATTATTAATCAGACCACCAATGTTTTCATCCAAATCATTTATATATTACAAACAACAGAAGTCCCAGCACTGATCCTTGAGGAACACCACTGGTCACAGACCTCCAGTGAGAAAAACACCCTCCACAACTACCCTTTGTCTTCTACAGCCAAGTCAGTTTTGTATCCAACTTGCCAACTCACCATAGATCCCATGCAATTTGATCTGCTAGACCAGCCTATCATAAAATGGATCTTGTCAAATGCTTTAGTAAAGTCCATGTAGACCATATTTACTATCTTATTCTCACCAATCATCTTCATAACTTCTTCAAAAAATCAATCAAGTTTGTGAGATAAGACCTCTCCTGCATAAAGTCACGCTGACTTTCCCAAATAAGTCCATTCTTCTCCAAATACAAGTAAATCCTGTCCCTAAGAATCTTCCACAATAATTTCCCTACCACTGATGTAACGCTAATCTGCCTACAATTTCTTGGATTATCCCTGATGTGCTTCTTAAATAAAGGAAAAGCATTGGTTATTCTCCAATCTTCTGGGACCTCACCTGTGGTTAAAGAGGCTACAAAGATCTCTGCCAAGACCTTGGCAATCTCCCCCCTTGCCTTCCTCAGTATCCTGGAATAGATCCCATCAGACCCTAGGACTCATCTACCTTAATGTTTTTCAAGACAGCAAACACCTCCTTCTTAATATTGACATGCCACAGAATATCAACATACTCCTCTTGAAAGTTACCATCATCCCTTTCTCCTTGGTGAATACCAATGCAAAGTACTCATTAAAGACCTCACCCAATTCTTCTTGCTCCATGCATATTGGAAGGCCTAAAGTATAACCCTATCAGCATGATTGCATTTCTCTTCTTCCTGAGTTCTGCCCATATTGCCTCGCTAGATGATTGTTCGAAGGTGTGCTCTTTTAGTGCACTATGACATCCTCCTTAATAAGTAAGGCAACATCTCCACACTTTTACATCCCTCTCTATTTTGCCTGAAGCATCTAAACCCTGGAACGGTGAGCTGCCAGTCTGCCCTTCTCTCAGGTTTCTATAATAGCTACCACATTGTACTCCCATGTACTAATCCAGACTCTAAGATCATCTGCTTTATCTGTTACATTTCTTGTGTTAAAATAAATACGTTTCAGACTGTTAGTCCCGCCATGATCATTAATCTAGCCCTGCCCGTTCTTCCTACTTGACTTACTTGATTTAGTCCCTTTCTTCTCTTCAAACACTCTACACGCTGACTACTGTTCTGGTTCCCACAATCCTGCCAAGCTAGTTTAAATCCTCCCAGTGACACTAGCAAACTTTCCTGCAAGGATATCAGTGCCCCTCCAGTCTATGTGCAAGCCATCCTTCTTGTACAGAATGCACCTGCCCTGGAAGAGATCCCAATGATTTAGATATCTGAATCCCTCTATCCTACACCAGCTCTTTAGCTATACATTCAACTGTATTATCTTCCTTTTTCTGGCCTTGTCATGCAATCATGTCAAAGTGCTACAGGAAATAATGAAATTAATCCTGGACGGTCTGGCCCAGCAACTGCACAGCATTGTGCCCTGGTCGAAAGTTGCTTTCCTGGTTAAGTATAAAGTAAGTCAAAGTTTCTTGTAAGTGTCTCTTTGGATATACAGGCATGCAGCTGATGTTGTTGTTGAAGAAATGGTTTGAAACCTTGTCTGTTTTTCCAGATTCTCACACAACCTGATAGCTGCCTGCACACACAGGATACCAGATTACAGCCTGAGGTTTTGAATTCCACATTTCCAGGTGGGTCATTTTCATGGCGATGACCGTGAGCTCTGGAGATACCACTGCGCATCTTGACGTTGACCGAATCCTCAGTCTGTTCCAACTGAGCAAGGAGCAGCTACATATGGTGATGTGCAGGCTGAGGGAGGAAATGGAGAGAGGCCTGAGCAGAGACACTTACCAGGAGGCTCCAGTCCGCATGTTGCCCACCTTCATATGCTCACTGCCTGCTGGTAGAGGTGAGTTCCAGCGCCCTAAGGAGATGGTACTGATGAGACTGAGGAATGGGTGAAGCTGGAACGAAGAGCAATTCTGTTCAGGGATTTGGGGAGTGGGGCTGTCAGTGTTCGCCCTCTCAGCTCATAACCAACAACATCGGCTCAACAAAGACTGTGATTTGGGGCGGGGTAGAGGGCAGTCAATGGGAAGTGAAGGTGATGAGGGGGTGAGGGAGATTGAGGGGATCAAGGGGATTGAGGAGGGGTGAGGGTGATGGGGATGAGGGTGATTGAAAGGGAATGACGATGGTCAAGGAAGTGAAGGTGATCAAGGGTGATTGAGGAAGTGAGGATAATTGAGAGGGAGGGAAGGTGCTTGAAAGTGTCAGAGTGATCTGGGGATGATCTGAGGGTGGTGAAAATGTCTGGGATGGCGCTGCCAATGGGAGAGCAAGGCCCTGTGTTGGTCACTTTATTCAGGGGCTCTGAGCTGACCCGTGACCCTGGCGATGGGTGGAAGAGGAATGCAGTGCCCAGAGCTGGTACCGACTTCAATTTCTCTCTTTGACCTCCAGTAAATGGCAGCTTCCTGGCCTTGGACCTTGGTGGCACTAATTTTCAAGTCTTACGGGTGAGATTTGGTTCTCCGTGTGAAGGTGTTAAGCACGTGGTCTCTGAGACTTACAGAATCTCCCATGAACTGATGCAAGCTTCAGGACAACAGGTATTCCCAGAACAATGACTGTTAATTAGCTGACTGAAGATCTTTAACGTCAAACTGGAACCAATGGGGAGACATCTATTCAACCAGTAATTTTTTAAAATCACAAGAATTAGGAGCAGGAGTAGACTATTCTGCCCCTCGAGCCTGCTTTGCCATTATGGAAGACCATGGCTGATTTGAGTGTGCTCTTAACTCCATTTTCTCTCTGATCCCCAACCCTCAACTCCCTCATCAATCAAAAATCTATCGAATTCAGCCTCGAATAGATTCAATGTTCACTACTCTTTGAGGATGACAATTCCAGAGACTTAAGACCCTCTCTGAGAAGAAATTTCTCCTCATCTCCACCTTAGTGGATGACCCTATATCCTGACACTGTGCCTCCTAGTTCTAGCCTCCCACTCAAGAGGAGACATCCACTCTGTCAAGCCACCTCAGAATCCTGTAGGGTTCAATAAAATTTCCTCTCATTTTTATAGACAGCAGTTAATATAGGCCAAAACAACTCAACCTCTCCTCATAAGAAAGATCCTTATAAGACTGAAGGATTGAGATAATCAGTCCTGGTGGAACTCAGAAACAGCAAAAGCAAAAGCAAACATTGGTGGGATTTGTTTATTGAATACCAAATAGCAGAGAGAATGTTGAGCGCCGTGTACATCAGGAAATTACAGCTGCATGTGATGTGAGTAATACAGTAATAATGGCTGACTTCAACAAAGTTGCCTTTCATAGTTCTTTTGATTTTAGCAATTACGACATGCTGATATGTCAAGCAATGATTGTTCTTTGATTTGATAATTGATCAAGTGAACATCAGACTTTTCTTCTATTAGAATTCTTTCTTTTAAGTTTCCTTTTCATTTTATCTTTTCACTCACACAGACAGAAGGGAGAAAGATGTTTTTGGTTTTTTGGCTCTGGATGGTTCTAGCTGCACTGCTCCTACCAACTTGGAGCAAACTGCAGCTCAAGCATTCTGAGGGCAATTGTCAGGCAGTTTCTCTACAACTCAGATACTTCTGATGCTGTATTTTTGTTTATTTATTCATGGGGTGCGGGCTTCATTGCCTGGCAAAGGGGATTTAAAGAGAAATCTTTTCACCCAGAGGATGGTGGGAATCTGGAATGCATAGTCTGGAGTGTAGATGAGTGGAAAAATCTCACAACCTTTAAAAAAATTACTTGGATGAGCACTTGAAATGTTGTAGCATTCAAGGCCATGTGCTCAGTTCAGGAAAGTTGGACTTGCATACGTAGTAGTGTCTCTGGTGGTACAGACTCGATGAGCCAAAAAATTTCTTCTGTACTGTATGATTCTAAGAATGTGGTTATACCTTATTGAGAGAGTTTGACAGGGTAGATACTGAGAAGATGTTTTAATTGGCTGGAGAGTCGAGAACTGGTTATGATAGTGAGGGGATGAATTAATTATAAAATATTTTCTGACCAACCTATTGTTGCAAACCTCTGAGTCCCTCTTGGACTTGTACTTGGGCCTTCTGGAGACTACCACTACACCACAAGAGCCCTTTTTTAAACTGCAGAGTAGCAGCATGAAATAACCAACCTCCCTGGTATCTAAAACATTTGACATATCTTACTTCTAACCAGGAGTTGAGTTTGAGTATTATACTGTAAGAAATGATCTGATCAGCATAACTATTATCTAACAATATGATTTTGATATCCCCTATTTCATCATCAAGTTTGCACAGTGAAAAATTAATTAATTAATTCCCAATATGCTTGTTCCCTTCGACAGCTAGGAATTTAACGTCATACCAACAGGACTAGACATTGACAGATTGCTGCCTTTTCTTCTTTCAAAAATTTACGAAAAAACAATTCATATGAAAAGATAGAAAATGATAATACATTGATTGTGTAATAATGCAAAATATAATATTTAACAATCTCCATGTTCCACCCTGTCCTGACCAAACTCCAATAAGATTACAACATGAATATTTCTTCATTCTCAATCTTCATTATAACACAAGACATCCCTCTTCAAGGTCAAGAAACCATTTTAAAACAATCCAATAGCTGATGACTTGCATTGGCTTCATGCTGAGGTGATTTATTTTGTTTGATACTGTCCCCATGTTTGTTCTGGGACAAACTCTAATCTCTGCTCTTTTGTAGCTCTTTGATTACATTGTGGACTGCATTGCAAGGTTCCTGTCAAACCAAAACATCAAGGAGCCACTTTCTCTGGGATTCACTTTTTCCTTCCCCTACAAACAGATTGGCTTAGATCAGGTGAGAGCTCAACTGATTGATGTCTGCCTCAATCCTGTGTCACTCAGTACAATTCAACCTGTATCAAGTTATACTCAGAGCTTTACATCCACTCACTAGAGTGATGAACGTCACATTTCAGGCTCTTATTAATCACAGCTCTGCTCGACTCTGTAGGGGATCCTGCTAAATTGGACCAAGGGATTCAATATTCCACACTGTGTAGGAAAGGATGTGGTACAGCTCTTGCGAGAAGCCATTCAACGCTGGCAGGTAATACCTTTCAGTTCAGGTGCTGAGGGTGACTGACCCAGACTTTCAGACCTGATAACTGACTGACCAAATAACTGACAGACCTGGTAACTGACTGACCCAATAATTAACTCACTCTGCGAACTGACTGATCCATCAGCCTGGTCACTGACTGACCCGCTAACTAACTGACACTGCTAACTGACCTGTTACCCTGGTAACTGACTGACCTGTTAACTAACTGATCCAGTAAGTGACTGACCTTGTTAACTGACTGATTGGCTACCCTGGTAACTGACTGACCCAATAACTGACTGACCTGGTAACTGACTGACCCTGACAGACATAGTAACTAACAGACATGGTAAGTGATAGACATGGTAACTGACTGACATGAAAACTGACTGACCCAATAACTTACAGAACTGCTAACTGATTTGATCTACTATCCTGATAACTGACTAACTCAGTAACTGAATGAGCTTGGTATCTTACTAACCCTGGTAACTCACTGACCCACTATTTTTTTTCTATTCATTTGTGGGATGTGGGCATCGCTGGCTGGCCAGCATTTATTGCCCATCTCTAGTTGCCCTTGAAACGTTGTGGTGAGCTGCCTTCTAGAACCGCTGCTGTCCACCTGCTGTGGGTTGACCCACAATGCCATTAGGGAGGGATTTCCAGAACTTTAACCCAGCAACAGTAAAGAAACGGCGATACATTTCCAAGTCAGGATGGTGAGTGGCTAACATTGTGGACTTTATCGCAAGGTTCCTGTCAAACCAAAACATCAACGAGCCTCTTCCTCTGAGATTCACTTTTTCCTCCCCCTACAAACAGATTGGCTTAGAACAGGTGAGAACTCAACTAATGGATGTCTGCGTCATTCCTATCTCACTCAGTACAATCCAATCTGTATCAAGTTACACTCAGAACTTTACATCCACTTATCCACTTTACATCCACAACTTGAAGGTCATGGCATTTCCATTTACCTGCTGCCCTTGTCCTTCGGCTGTCTGATGATCTTTGGTGAATTTCTGCAGTGCATCTTGTAGGTAGTACACACTGCTGCTACTGAGCATCGGTGGTGGAGGGAGTGGATGCTTGTGGATCTAGTGCCAGTCAAGCAGTCTGCTTTGCCCTGGATGGTATCAAGCTTCTTGAATGTCGTTGGGGCTGCACTTATCCAGGCAAGTGGGAGTATTCCATCACTCTCTTGACTTGTGCCTTGTAGACAGCAGACAGGCTTTGAGGAGTCAGGAGGTGAGTTACTCGCTGCAGTATTCCTAGCTTCTGACTTGCTCTTGTAGCCACTATGTTTATGTGATGAGTCCAGTTGAGTTTCTGGTCAATGATAACCCCCAGGATGTTAACAGTGGGGGATTCAGTGATGGTAAGCCTGTTGAATGACAAGAGGCGGTGGTTAGATTGTCTGTTATTCGTGATGGTCATAGACTGGCATTTGTGTGGCGCGAGTGTTACTTGCCACTTGTCAGCCCAAGCCTGGATATTGTCTAGATCTTGTTGCGTTTGAACATGGACTGCTTCCGTACCTGAGGAGTCACGAATGGTGCTGAACATTGTGCAATCATTGGCGAACATCCCTACTTTTGACCTTATGATGCAGGGACGGTTGTTGATGAAGCAGCTGAAGGTGGTTGGGCTAAGGACATTACCCTGAGGAATTCCTGCAGAGATGTCCTGGAGCTGAGATGATTGACCTCCAACAACCACGACCATCTTCCTATGTGTCAGGTATGACTGTACCCACTGGGGAGTTTTCCCCCGATACCCATTGATTCCAGTTTTGCTAGGGCTCCTTGATGCCATACTCGGTCGAATGAAGCCTTGATGTCAAGGGCTGTCACTGTTACCTCATCTCCGGAATTCAGCTGTTTTGTCCATGTTTGAACCAAGCCTGTAATAAGATCAGGAGCTGACTGGACCTGGTGGAACCCAAATTGGCATCACTAAGCAGATTATTGCAGGTGCTGCTTGATAGCACTGTTGATGACACCTCCCATCACTTTACTGATGATCAAGAGTAGACTGATGGGGCGGTAATTGGCCGTTTGGATTTGTCCTGCTTTTTATGTACTTGGGCAATTTTCCAAATTGTGGGGTAGATACCTGTGTTGTAACTGTACTGGAACAGCTTGGCTGGGGGAGCGGCAAGTTCTGGAGTACAAGTCTTCATTACTGTTGCGGAATGTTGTCAGGGCCTGTACTGTTTGCAATATCTAGTATCTCCAACCATTTCTCGATATCACATGGAGTGAGTCAAATTGGCTGAAGACTGGTATCTGTAATACTGGGTACCAATGGAGGAGGCCGAACTGGATCATCCACTTGGCACTTCTGGCTGAAGATTGCTGTGAATGCTTCAGCTTTATCTTTTGCACTGATGTGCTGGGCTCTTCCATCATTGAGGATGGGAATAATTGTGAAGATGTCTCCTTCTCCAGTGAGTTATTTACTTGTCCACTACCATTCATGACTGGATGTTGCAGGACTGCAGAGCTTAGTTCTGATCCACTGGTTGTGGGATCACTTAGCTCTGTCTATCACTTGCTACTTCTGCTGTTTGTCATGCAAGTAATCCTGTTTGGTGGCTTCACTAGGTTGACACCTCATCTTTAGGTATGCCTAGTGCTGCTCCTGGCATGCCCTCCTGCACTCTCCGTTGAACCAGGGTTGGTCCCCTGGCTTGATTGTCATGGTTGGAGGGGGAGTGGGGGGGTGGGGTGGGTGGAATATGCCAGGCCATGAGGTTAAGATTGTGCTGGAGTATAATTCTGCTGCTGTAGATGGCCCACAGCATCTCATGGATGCCCAGTCCTGAGTTGTTAGATCTGTTTGATGTCTGACCCATTCAGAACGGTGATAGTGCCACACAACACTATGTGAAGTTATTTTCAATGTGATGGTGGGAATTATTCTCCACAAGGTCTATGCGGTAGTCACTCTTACCGATACTGTTATGGACAGGTGCAACTACAGCTGGCAGATTGGTTAGGATGAGGTCAAGTATGTTTTTCCTTCTTGTTGGTTCCCTCATGACCTGCCGCAGACTCAGTCTAGCAGCTATGTTCTTTAGAACCTGACCAGCTCGATCAATAGTACTTCTGCCAAGCCACTCTTTGTGGTGGACATTGAAATTCCCCACCCAGAGTACCTTTTGTGCCCTTTCCATCCTCAGTGCTTCCTCCAAGTGTTGCTCAGCATTGAGGAGTACCGATTCATAAGCTGAGGGAGGACAGTATGTGGCAATCAGCAGGAGTTTTCCTTCCCCATGTTTAACCTGAAGCCATGAGACTTCATGGGGGTCTGGAGACAATCTTGAGGACTCCCAGAGCAACTTCCTCCCAACAGTATATCATGTGGCGCCACCTCTGCTAAGTCTGTCCTGCCAGTTAGACAGGACATATCCAGGCATGGTGATGGTGGTGCCTGGGACATTGTCTGTAAGGTATGATTCCGTGAGTATGGCTATGGCAGGCTGTTGCTTGACTAGTCTGTGAGACAGCCCTCCCAATTTTACAACTAGCCCCCATATGTTAGTGAGGAGGACTTTGCAGGGTCGACAGGGATGTTTCTGCTGTTGCCTTTTCTCGTGCCTCGGTCGATGTTAGGTGATCCATCCGGTTTCATTTCATTGAGACTTTGTAGTGATTGGTAGAACTGAATGGCTTGCTCGGCCATTTCAGAGGGCAATTGAGAGGCAACACATTGCTGTGGGTCTGGAGTCAAATGTAGGCCAGACCAGATGAGGGTGGCAGATTTCCTTCCCTGAAGGACATTAGTGAACCAGATGTGTTTTTCCGACAATCAACAATGATATCACAGTGATCAGTAGATTCTTATTCCAGATTTTTAAAAAATTGAACTCAAATTCCAACACCTGCTGCGGCAGGTTTCAAAGCCAAGTCCCCAGATCATGAGCTGAGTTTCTGGATTAATAGTCTAGCTCATCATCTAGTACACTTGTATCTGAGTGACCCAGTAACTGTCTGACCCCATGATTGATTGAACCTGGTAACTGACTGACCCGAAAACCGACTACCTGGTTACTAATTGACCCATCAATTGACTGATCTACTAACGAGGTATCTGACTAACCTTGTGACTTACTGACCCTGTAACTGAGAGCCACTTCTTCATGCGGAGAGCGGTGCGTGTATGGAATGGGCTGCCAGAGAAAGTGGTTGAGGCAGGTACAATAGGAATATTTAAAAAGCATTTAGATAAGTACGTGGATGGGAAGAATTTAGAGGGATATGGACCAAATGCGGGCAATTGGAACTAGCTGAGTGGGCACCATTTCAGCATGGACCAGTTTGGGCTGAAGGGCCTGTTTCCATGCTGTATTACTCTATGACTTTATGACTTTATATCTGATTGACCCAATTGTTGACTCATCCTAATAACCAACTAACCTGCTAAGTAACTGACTCAGTAACTGACTGTCATGTTTCTTACTCTAATCCAACAGACCCAGGCTCAACCATTATTTCTTGTTCTTATTGAATACTATGTCAATTATAATATTGTTCATGTATACTTTGAGATAAAGTGCTGTGAGTGTGATGATCAGAGTGATTCTTGCTGCAATCTGTATTTATCCATCTCTGTCATAACCAGCCATGTGGAAAATGGGTTCTTTGTTATCACAAACATCTGACTGAATCAGTTCATATTAACCATATCTGTCCATGACAATCTCAGTATCCAATATGTGCCACGGTCCTAACACTGACAGTTGTGAAACAGCATTGTCAAACATTCTCCAGTCTGAAAAACAGCTATTCACCATGTTTTATTATCTCCTGTCTTTCAGCCATTTTTCCTACATACTAGCCTCCTCCTTCCTGTTCCTTGTGCCAGTGTTCTGTTAACCTGTTAGTTCTATGTGAAGACATAGTACGTTGGTCTATCGTAAACATAGAACGGTACATCATGGGAACAGGCCCTTTGACCAACCATGATGCCATTCTAAACCAATTCCATCTACCCTCATATGGTCTGAATCCCTCTGTTCCCTGGCTATTCATGTGTCTGCCTAATTGCCTCTTAAATGTTGTTATCATCTCAGCTTCTACCACCTCCCCTGGCAGCGCATTGTAGCCACCTACTGTGTAAAAAATGTGCCTCGCACATCTGCTTTGAACTTTACCCCTCTCATCTTAAATCTATCCCACCTCATATTTGACATTTCCACCCTGGGAGAAAGATTCCAACTATTCACTCTATCCATGCCTTTATTCTATCAGGTCACCCCTCAGTCTCGAATACTCTCGTGAAAATAGTCCAAATTTGTCTAAACTCTCCATATAGCAATTTTCTCCAATCCAGGCAACATCCTGATAAACTGAAACAAAAATAGAAATTGCTGGAGAAACTCAGCAGGACTGGCAGCATCTGTGGAGAGTAAGCAGAGTTAACATTTCAGATCCAGTGACCCTTCTAACTGATAAACCCCTGTACACCCTCTCCAAAGCCTAGATATCTTTCTTACAGTGAGGCAACCAGAACTGCATTACGTCATTTGGGGTCTCATCCAGAATTACAAACACCGAGGTTTAAGAACATAGGAACAGGAGTGTGCCATTCAGCCCTTCAAGCCTGATCCACAATTCAATATGATCATGGCTGATATGTATATGCCATATGCCTGCTTTGATATCTTACTAAATAAAAATTTTCTATCTTACATTTAAATTTAACAATTGAATTAGCATTAACTGCCATTTTAGGAAGTGAGTTCCAAACCTCCATAACACTTTGCATGTAGGAACGTTTTCTAACACCTCTCCTGAATGGACTAGCCCTAATTCTTAGAATATGCCTCCTGGTTCTAGAATCTTCAACCTGTAGAAATAGTTTATCTCTAACCCTGACTTTCCCTCTTAATATCCTGAAGGGGTCACCCCTTAATCTTCTAAATTCTAGAGAATAAAGGCCTAATTTGTCTCATCTACCTCATAAATTAGCCTTTGAAATCCAGGTATCATCTTTGTAAATCTGTATTGAACTCCCTCTGAGGCCAAAGCATCCTTCCTAAGGAGTGCCCAGATCTGTTCATGGTACTATTTGAGGTTTAACTAGAGATTTGTATAACTGCAGCATAATGTCAGCATCTGGATTCGCCAGCCCTTTAGATATGAAGACCATAAGTCCATTTGCCTTTTGACTATTTTCTACAGCTTTTCCTGACATTTTAAAGAGCTATGAACCTGAAGCCCCAAACCTTGTTGGACATCCACTGTATTTAACTTTATGCTTTCTATAATAATACCCTATTCTATCTTTTGACAGTCCAAAATGGATGACCACACACTTACTTATATTAAAATCCATTTGCCACAGCTTTGCCCATTCACCTAATTAATATCCTGTTATAGTTTTATGCTGTCATCAACACTGTCTGCAATATTGCCCAATTTTGTGTAATCAGCAAATTTGGATATTTGACTTTTAATGCCATTACCCAAATCACAGAATTCCTATAGTGTGGAAGCAGACCATTTGGCCCATTGAGTCCATACTAACCCTCCAAAGAGCATCCCAGAAAGACCCCACGTCCCTCCCTGTAACCCTCCATTTCCCACAGCTAATCCATCTAGCCTGCACATCCCCAGATACTACTGGCAATTTAGCATGGCCAAACCACCAAACCACTTGCACCATGGGAAGAAACCAGAGCATCCAGAAGAAACCCATGGAGACATGAGGAGATTGTGCAAACTCCACCAGTCACCCACAGGTGGAATTGAACTAGCTTCCTTGTGCTAAGGCAGCAGTGCTAACCACTGAACCACTATGCTGCCCAACCACTGTGCTGCCGTCGTTAATGAATATTGTGAATAATTGAGGCCTGTCCTGCATGACACCACGATTCACATCCTGCAAATTTGAATACATATCAATAAATTCCAACCTTAGCTAACAGTCTGTCATGTGGAACTTTTATCAAAAGCCTTCCCAAAGTCCATATAAACAACATTCTTTGGCTTACCTCTCTCCACAATCTTTGTCACCACTTCAAATAACTCTATGAGATTTGTCAGACACGAATCAGACATTTGTCAGACCTTCATGAATCCATGCTAACTCTCCCTGATTAACTGAAAAATTTCGAGGTGATCAGTTACCTTATCCTTGACTCCAACAATTTCCCCACCACAGATTTCAGGCTGACTGGTCTGTAATTCCCTGACTTTCCTCTGTAACCTTTCTTAAAAAGCAGAACACCATAAGCAAATCACCAATCAAGATGTACAACTTCTGAATCCAGGGAATTCAGAAATATTATGATTAGAGCATTGTCAATGCTCTCCCCTGCCTCCATTAACACCTGTGGATGGGTCTTGGGGATTTGTCATACTTCAGTTCCATTAATTTTTTAACCTAATTTTATTTAGATCCTATCCTTGATTCATTTCATTGGGACTTCTTGGCAAGTTATTTCTTTTCTGCTGTGAATGCTGAAGCAAAATAATCATTCAGCATGCCTGCCTTTTCCCCATGGTCATTGAGAATAGAACATAGAATCCTTACAGTGTGGAAACAGGCCCTTCAACCCAACAAGTCCACACCCAACCTCAGAGCATCCCACCCAGACCATCCCCCTATAACCCACCTAATCTACACATCCCTGAACACTACAGATAATTTAGCATGGCCAATCCACCTAGCCTGCACATCTTTGGACTGTAGGAGGAAACCGGAGCACCCGAAGGAAACCCACGCAGAAACGGGGAGAATGTGCAAACTCCACACAGACAGTCACCCAAGGGTGGAATCAAACCCGGGCCTCCGGCACTGTGAGGCAACAGTGCTAACCACTGAGCCACCGTGCTGCCCATATGTTCACCCTCAGCCTTCAGTGGGCAAGCAGTACTATTAAACCGCCACTTTCCCTTTATGTAACTATAAAATCTCTTCTCAATATCTTTTATGCCTTTTGTAAGTTTCCTGCCATAATCCTTTTCAGCCACTCTTATAAGCAACTTTATAGCCATTTGTTGTCTTTGTATTTGTCCCATTCTGTGGGATCTGTAGTGTTCTTCGCATTTTTGTAAGCATTTTCTTTTAGTTTTATGCTGTTCCTTACCTCCTGAGATGACTTTGCTAACCACTGAGCCACCGTGCCACCCTTAATGTCTTTCCCCCTTAACTTTTCATTATTTCATGTGAAACTCCAGGATGTTTCCAAGCTGCAACATGAGCCTTCAATTTTTTTTTCAAATGTTTGACACACAATCAAAAGAAATAGCTCTTTCCTTCTGGGCCATGAATCTTCTGTTAATGAACTGAAAAGGGTTCCCACATTTCATGCCAATGGACTCACTCAAAGCAAATGGATCTAATTTTTTACAATAAGAAAACAGAGACTCTATTTTCCCCATCCTCAGGATCTTCCAGGCAATCATTCAATCATTTTTTGATAAGAATTTAGGGAATCTTTCTAAGCCTCTTGAGAAAGACACTAGTGTACAGATGAGCTAATCTGCTTTACTCCCATCTACAAGACCTTCTTAAACACCATTTGCCATAAAATGTGATCCCTAATCCGACTAGATCTTCCTAGGTAACCTATACCAGGTGAAAAACTGCATAAACACATTGATTATCACCTTCATAGTGTGTAGGGAAATTTAACTAAAAACAATATCACAAAAATTTGGTCTCCACAAGGAACATAACATCACCTGGCAGGTTGACCCTGGGTTGCAGCAGATTTGAATGTGACAATAGTTAAAACACTGAGCTCTGAGCACGACATGCTGAAATGAAATGTGGATTAATGAGGTTTAAAGACATTCGCCGTAGTGGAGTTGTGTAAAGTTGGTGTGGACTATAATGTTAATACAGGAATGGTGGATCCCTTCAGGATAGTGCCTCTGGGAAATGAGTGAATGAATTTAACTGATTGCTAGGTGTACCCCCCACCAACTGACAGGTTATTACAATATTCTGTTCTATCTCCATGCAACCCTGGCCAATAAGCATGCTTCATTATTTTGTTTTCTCATTCCCAGGTGCCAATGGGATCTCATAATTCTTAAGAATAGTTAAGAATTCCCAGTGATGCTCAGGAAATGGATCTTATTGGACCACAATCCAACCCTTATCCAGGCCTCTCTGAGGAGGTCTCCACTTTCTCATCAAGGGGCCAATCTAGGTACATTGTGCAATACTGTCAGTCTTCTTCAACATACACCCACTGTGATAGCTTTGTAAAAGAGGGTCTATCTTTTTGTCCATCAACCAGGGAAGTTATGATAAATAATTCTGCTTCACTCTGGTCTGGTTCTTTATTGTCATCCATCTTCACAGTAAATACTCTACCAGATTGAGCGCTTGATGCATCTTCCCTAAAAGATTCCTGTTCCTCTCATTTTACCTCTAAAGATTGGGCTCTGGCTATCACACACACGTGAGGATTAATTCAAGATGTTCCTCATGAAGAATTTCTATTTCTCCAACCTCAGGTTGCTATCCTAAAATTCTCAGATACATGGCCACTTTTAAACCTGTCATATCTTTGCCCAGAATGAAATCCATTCATCCAATAGGTTACCTTAGAACAATTCCACTTACTAAGTCACTCTTTAAATAATTTTACCAAGGTAATAGGTTCATAAGTCCCTTCCTTACCCACACTTAATACTTTCTTGAACTCTCTGGGAAATATATCATTGTCTTCATTGGCCACCACCAGGACTGAACTGCCCGTGTTCCATTGGATACTGCAAAGGCTAGGGTCCCTGACAACATTCTGGTATTAGTACTGAAGACATGTGCTCCAAACTTGCTGCTCCCCTAGCCAAGTTCTTCCAGTATTGTTGCAGAACTGGCATCTACCTGACAATGTGGAAAATTGCCCAGATATGTCATGCATTTAAAAAGCAGTACAAATCTAACTCAGCCAATTACTGTTCCATTAGTCTACTCTTGATCATCAGTAGTCAATAGTGCCATCAAGCAGCACCTGCTCAGCAATAAGCTACTCAGTGACACCCAGTCTGTGTTCTACCAGGACCACTCAGCTCTTGACCTCATTACAGCCTTGGTTCAAACGTGGACAATTGAGCAGAATTCCAGAGGAGAGGTGAGAGTGACAGTCCTTGACATCAAGGCTGCATTCAACTGAGTGTAGCATCTAACAGCCCTAGCAAAACAGGAATCAATGGGTATCAGAGGGCAAACTCTCCAGGTATGTGTCATACCTGGCACATGAGAAGACAGTTGTGGTTGTTGGAGGTTAGTCATCTCAGCTCCAGAACATCTCTGCAAGAGTTCCTCAGGGTAGTGCTCTAGGCTCAACCATCTTCAGCTTCTTCATCAATGACCTTCCCTCCATCATAAGGTCAGAAGTGGGCATGTTCACCAATGATTGCACAATGTTCACACCATTCACAACTCCTTGGATATTGAAGCAGTCCGTGTTCAAATGCAACAAGATCTGGACAATATCTAGGCTTGGGCTGACAAGTGAAGTGGCAAGTAACATACACACCATAACATCACCAATAAGTGACAATCTAACCACCATTACTTGACATTAAGTGGTGTTACCATCACTGAATCCCCCACTATTGACATCCTGGGCATTACCATCAACCAGAAATTCAATTGGATTTGCCATATAAACACACTGGCTACAAGAGCAGGTCAAAGGCGAATAACTCATCTCCTGACTCCTGAAAGCCCGTCCAGAAGGTACGAGTCAGGAGTGTGATGGAATACTCTCCACTTGACTGGATGGATGCCACTCCAACAACACTCAAGAAGCTTGACGCCATCCAATAAATGCTGCCTAGCCAGCAATGCGCCCTTCCCATTAATGAATAAAGAAAAAAAAAGACAATGTAGCCCCCTTGATTGGCACAACATCCACAAGCATCCACTCCCTCTACCACCAATGCTCAGTGGTAGTACTGTGCTCTATCTGCAAGATGAACTTCAGAAATTCACTAAAAATCCCCAGACAGCACCTTCCAAACTCACAACCACTTCCATCTAGAAGGACAATGGCAACAGATACATAGGAAGAACGCCACCTTCAAGTTCCCCTCCAAGCCACTCAACATCTTGACTTGAAAATATATTGCCATTCCTTCACTGTCATCGGGTTAACATCCTGGAATTCCATCCCTGATGCCATTGCAGGTCAACCAACAGCAGGTTGACTGCAGCAGTTGAAGGCGGCTGCTCACCACCACCATCTCAGGGACAACTAAGGATGGGCAATAATGCTAGCCAGAGAGTGATGCCCACATCAGACAAATGAATTTTTAAGAAATGCTGCCAGACCTGGTGAATTTCTCTAGCAGTTTCAGGTGTTTGTTTTTTTATGAGCCCTTTCATCAATAAAAAAAATCTGGTTTCTCTCTAATTCATTAATTCGAATATCCTTATTATTAACTGGAAAAGCTTCTATTTTCTCCTTAAAGCTGGATTCTCATTTATTCATCCAGCTATCTTGTTAGTTTGCATATAACAACTTTGTAACACTTATTGTCAGCCAAAAATATTGTATGAATCTGACTGAGGTTTCTGCCTTTGATTTCAGATACGTGATGCTCACCCAAGTAAGACTTAGCTATTACTGGAATACTATTGCTGAATTTTTCTGTAATCATGATTTGCTTCACATTTTAGAAAGTGTGCATTTCAACATAAGTGTTATAGGATTGCTAACAAAAACAGTAATTCGTTTTCCTAGCTACTATCAATACTGAAGCAGGGTATCTGGACTTGACGGTTAACTTTGTCTCTCTCTTCACAGATGTTGCCAGATCTGCTACGTTTCTCCAGCAATTGCTTGCTTTTTAAGCAATCCTATAACATTTATTTTCCTTTGGTGAAGTTAACAAATGGTGTTTGCCTTAACTGTCCTAAACTGAATTAGTAAGCTTCAGAATGTTGAATGAAAGATGTTGCTTGAGATGGAGCATTTCAGCTATGAAGAGCCTGGATAAGGTTGGGTTATTTTCTTTGGAGCAGAGAAGGTTGAGGCGGTACCTGAGAGAGGAGTATAAGATAATGAGTGGCATGGACAGTAGGAAGCAGCTATTCCCCTTATTCAAAGAGTCAAGAACAAGGAGGTATAATTTTCAAGTGAAAGGCAAGAGTTTTAGAGAGGATTTGAGGATAAACTTTTTCACTCAGAGGGTGGTTGGGGGTCTGAAATGCACTATCTGAGATGGTAGTTGAGATGGGAATCCTCACAACCTTTAAAAAGTACTTGGATGAGCACTTAAAGTGTTATAACATTCAAGGCTATGGGTCTAGTAGTGGAAAGTGGGAGTAGTATAGGTATTAGGACACTTTTGGTGGCACAGACTCGATGGGCCAAAGGGCTTCTTCAGTATTGTATAATTGTATCAGAACAAGCTTATTGCTGTCAAGTATCACAGCTGTAACTGTCTGCTCTTAACTAAATAGTTTTAACTAAACTGTTTTACCTCAGTTTTAATTTAAGGTTGACCGTAAGAAATTGGAACAGTAGCAGTTCATTCTGTGCTCAAGCATGCTCCATCATTTAATAGGATCATGGCTGCATGTCAATCCTCACTTCATTTTCCTGCCTTTACTCCATTCCACATAACCCTAGATTCCCCTACAGATAAGAAACTATCTATCTCAACCTTAAGTATACACAAGGACTCTGTAGTCATAGCTTTCCCTTAAATCTGAGACAATGCCTTCTGATCCTAGACTTTCCCTTGAGAGGAACTGTCCTCTGAGCATTTATTGGTGAGAGCCTTAAGAGTCTTTCTTCATTGAGATCACCTCTCACTCTTTTAAACTCCAGCAAGTGATGTCCCAATTTGTTTAGCCTTTGCTCATAAGACAATCCCTCCATACTGGGGAATGATCCTAGTAAACCTTCTCTGAACTGCTTCCAAAGAAATGATGCCTTTCCTGGAATAAGGGAACCAAAACTTCTTACAGTTCTCCAGATGTGGTCTCACCAGCATTTTATCGAGTTGCAGTAAGACTTCCCAACTCTTAACATTTCAAGCTCTTTTAAGGGCCAACATTCTATTAGCCTTCCTGATTACACCGATATTGCACCTATGTGCTTGCTTTCTGTGTTTCATGCAGAAGTACCCCCAAGCCCCTTTGTTTTGCATTTTTCTGCAGTTTTTCTCCATTTAAATAAAATGTTCATTTGTTCTTCCTTCCAAAGCGATCAAGATAGAATAAGCATTTGTTACTTTACTCGTGAAAACATTTTGCTGCAGAAAACTCCATGAGTCCTTCAATTCTTAAGCAACTTTCTCAAGAAAGATACAATTAAATCTCTCCCTATGGTTTCCGCAAAATTAGAAACAAAAGGAAGAGTTTGCTTAAATTTAACTTCTGAATGGGACTTCCCTCCTCAGCCAAACTACTAGGTTTTCTTGCTGTCTGTAATGTAAGCTTTTCTTTGTCCAACTAACAATTCTTGCTTTCTTTTCAAACATTTAACCATTATATTTTATTTTGCACTGCTTTGTCTGTGATCAAAGATGATTATATATATTATCATTTCAATATCATTGTTAGCATTTACATTTGAAACTAATTTATTAGTGTTGGTTACTTTTGAGAAGAAGTTGAAAATGAAAAAGTCAGATTCTGGAACAGTGACCAAATCCAGTATGGATCAGACAGCAGGATGACTACAAAGCCTTGGGAGTTAATGGAAGATTGTTGATACAGTGGGGTTTACAAGAACGACTGTGTAAACATTGAAGGCATCGGTCAACTTTTATTTAAAATAATCAAGGAAGAAGTCTGTTCACCATCTGTGCAATGGAATACTCTGCTTGTCTGGATGTATGCAGCTCCAGTAACACTCAAGAATCTCTACACCATACAGGGCAAATCAGCTTGCTTGATTGTCAAGCCATCCACAAATATTCACCCCATGAACCACTGATGCACAGGAGCAGCAGAGGGGACCATCTACAAGATGCACTGCACAAATTTACCAAGGCTCTAAAGAAAGTACATTCCAAACACATGGCAACTAACAAATAGAAGGGCAGTGGCAGCAGATGAATTATGACATGGAACCAGGGATCAAGCCTTGTTAAACAAAGAGTGCAGGAGGGTGTTAACCAGGTATATGTAAAAAGAAGGTATCAACCAAGTGAAGTTAGAACATGGAAATACTTGCATGCCAGAAAGCATAAAAAGTGACAGATAGACAGGGCTAAGTGACTCTACAACCTATGGCTCAGACATGAGCTCTGCAGCCCTGCCACCTCACATCATGAATGTTGATGGACAATTTAACAAGTCATTGTTTTCACTTGAATGTTGAGGCTGAGGGTTAACCTGATAGATGTTTACAAAATTATGACAGGCGTGGATAGAATGGATAGTTGGAGTCTTTTTCCCATGATAGAAATGTCAATTACGAGGTGGTGTAAGGTTAAAGTGTTATCAGCAAGACCAGACTGAAAAATATGGTAAGGAGATTTGATTTATAATTGTCACATGTACTGCAATACAGTGAAAAATATTGTTTTGCATATTATCCAGTACAAATTGAACTACACATAAGTACATCAGGTTAATATAGTGTTACACTTACAGAGAAGGTGCAGAGAAATATCAACACTAATATATGACAGGTCCATTCATAAGTCTGATAACAGCAGGGAAGAAGCTTGTATCTGTTGGTATGTGTTTTCAAATTTTTGTATCGGCCCAACGGAAGAGGTTGGAAGCGAGTATAGCAGGGGTGGGAGGGGTCTTTGATTATGTTGGCTGCTTTCTGGATGCAGCAGGAAGTGTGTACGGAGTCAATGTAAGGAATGGTGCTTTGCATGATGGACTGGGCTAAATTCACAACTCTCCGTAATTTCTTGCACTACTGAGCACAGCAGTTGCCATACCAAGCTGTGATGCATCTCGATAAGATGCTTTCTATAGCGCATCTATAAAAATTGGCAAGAATCATTGTGTACATGACAACTTTCCTTAGCCTTCTGAGGAAGTAGAGGTGTTGGTGTACTTTCTCGGCTATAGTGTTGACGTGGCAAGACTGATTGTTGGTGATATTTACTTCTTGGAACTTGAAGCTCTCAATGACCTCCACCCTAGCACCATTGATACAGATGGTGGGGTGTCCTCCACTCCACTTCCTGATGCCTACGACCAGTTCCTTTGTCTTGCCGACATTGAGGGGGAGATTGCTGTCTTTACACCATGCTACTAAGCTCTCTATCTCTTTCTCTTTCCTGTACTCTGTCTCATCGTTGTTTGAGGTCTTACCCACTATGGTGGTGTCATCAGCAAATCTGTAAATGGAGTTAGAACTGAATGTGGCCACACAGTTGTGAGGGTATAAGGAGTATAAGTAGGGGCTGAATACACCAGCCATGCACGGCACTGGTGTTGAGGATTATCGTGGACAAGGTGTTGTTGCCTGCCCTATTGATCATGTTCTGTGGGCCAGGAACTGGAGGATGCAGTTTTAGAGGTGAAGGCAGATTCCTAGGTCTTAAACTCAGGAGATGGGTTTTGTTGGAAATAAGGTGTTGAAGATGGAGCCAAAGTCTATAACTAGGAGTATGACACAAATGTCTTTGTTGTCTAGATGTTCTTGGGATGCATGAAGAGCCAGGGTGATGCCATATGCAGTGGATTTATTGCAATGGCTGACAAATTATAGTGGATCGAGGCAATCTGGGAGGCTGGAGTTGATGCATGCCATGGTTTCACAGGTCGGCGCAACATCGAGGGCCAACGGGCCTGTACTGTGCTGTAATGTTCTATGTTCTATGTTCTATTACTGACCTCTCAAAGGACTTCAAAATGATGGATGTCAGAGCCACCAGGCCGTAGTCATTCAGGCACACAGATTGGGCAGGAAAGTGGAGTTGAGATGAGATCAGCCAAGATTGTATTAAATGATGGAGCAGGCTCGAGGGGCTGAAATGCTAACTCCTGCTCCTATTTCTTATGCTCTTTTGTTCTTCACAGCACAGAGGAAAGTATGTCAAACAATAGCCATGTCAGTCAATGAAGATCCAAGTACATAAATGCCATTTTCCAGCTCTTAGCCTTTAGTTCTGGAGGTTATGGCAATGCAAGTGATTGTCAAAATACTGCATGGATAGTATGAAAGTTTTTGACTCAAACATCCATTGCAGCAGTGAGTGCGAGACTCTTAGGATCCTCTTGGTCCAAATAGTTCTCCTTCATTTCTTTTTAGTTTTCTACCTGTTATCGTAAAACATTCCCATATTTATTATAAACCCCTCTACTACTAATGGAAAAAATGCCTCCTTTCCCATCTATAAGTACCCTTTTTAATTTTATGGACTTCTATCTGGTCTCTGATCATCTGTCTACAGTCAAAAGAAAACAACCCCAGTTTATTCAATAATTCCTTATTGCTCAGACCATCCAGCACAGGCAGCACCCTGATAAATCTCCCCTCCATTGGCTTGTGCAATCACTCCCTCCTATAAATTGGGGATGAGATATGGCCTAAACAGCAGCCTGACCTCCCCACTAAACCTTCACTGCTTCAATTCGATATTTCCTCATAGCTTAGACCCTGCAGCACAGGCAGCACCCTGGTAAATCTCCTCTGCACTATCTCTAGTCCAGTTGCATTCTTCCTGTAGTCTGGTAACAAACTGTACTAGTTGTGGCCTAAACAACAGTTTGTAGAATTCCAGTATATCCTCCTTGCTCTTTTATTTTATACCTTGGCTAATAAATGCAAGAATCGTATCTGCCTTCCTAACCATTTTATCTACCTGCACTGTACCTTCAGGGATCTGTGGATTTATATCCCAAATTACCACTGATCTTCACTGCCCTCTATGGTCCTACTGTTCATGGTGCAATCCTTTTTAGCCTTCCCCAAGTATATAACCTCTCACTATTTTCCAAGTTGAATTCCATTTGCCATTGCTCTGCAGCGCTGACTAATCTGTTGATATTGTCCTCCAGTTTACACCTTCCTCCTCACTATTGCTACCCGACCAATTTTCATTTCATGTGCAAATCACCTTGATCATATCACCTGCAATTATTTCCAAATCCTGAAAACACATCATAAATGGCAGGATTCTCAGCAGTGTGGAAGAACAGAAGGATCTTGGGGTCCATGTCCATAGATCACTCAAAGTTGCTACCCAAGTTGATAGGGTTGGAAAGAAGGCATATGGTGTGTTGGCTTTCATTGGCAGGGGAATTGAGTTTAAGAGCCCCGAGGTTATGCTGCAGCTCTATAAAACTCTGGTTAGACCACACTTGGAATATTGTGTTCAGTTCTGATCACCTCATTTTAGGAAAGATGTGGAAGCTTTGGAGAGGGTGCAGAGGAGATTTACCAGGATGCTGCCTGGACTGGAGGGTAGGTCTTATGAGGAAAGGTTTTTTTTCATTGGAGGAAGAAGGATGAGAGGTGACTAGATAGAGGTGTACAAGATGATAACAGGCATAGATAGAGTGGATAGCCAGAGACTTTTTCCCAGGGCAGAAATGACTATTAGGAGGGGGCATAATTTTAAGGTGATTGGAGGAAGGTATAGGGGAAGATGTCAGAGGTAGGTTCTTCACAGAGAGAGTGGTGGGCGTGTGGAATGCGCTGCTGGCAGTTGTAGTAGAGTCAGATACTTTAGAGACTTTTAAGCAACTCTTGGATAGGCAGATGGAGGATAGTAAAATGTAAGGTATGCAGGGTAGATTGATCTTAGTAGGATAATAGATCGGCACAACATCATGAGCCAAAGGGCCTGTACTGTGTTATGTTCTATTATCTCTAGCTTAGAAAATCAAAAAGTTGAAATTTTTTTTTACAGCAGTTTTGGTGGAGACCAGATTGAGGTTAGAAACAAATATAGTTTCACTCCAAGGAAGTACTAAAAGCTGAGAAAATTTAAGCTTTCAGGTTTATGATAATTCACGGAAGAAATTTCACAGTTCCCAGGACAGACTAGGGAGAGGCAGTCAAGTCAAACCTAAACATTTAATACAGAAAGATCACTTCTTTATTTGAATCACTGTAAAGTGATATATTACCAAATACTATGAGATTTTGAAAGATCTTAAAATACTCAAGTCAAGCAAACTGTAGTGTATATTTAGATAGCTTGGGTTTTTGTGTAATAAGCTCCATTTTACTGTTAATGAAAATCTGCATTCTCGTATGCTTATATTTCAGTGAACATCATACTAAATTAGAAAAATATGAACATAAAATAACAGAAAAATGTCAAAACCAAAAGGAAAGAATTGCAAATGCTGTAAATCAGCGACTAAAATAGAAATTGCTAGAAAAACTCAGCAGGTCTGACAGTATCTGTGGAGAGAAATCAGAGTTAACATTTCAGGTCACTTGGCCCACTTCATTTCCAAGCATCAGTTCTAACAACGTACCCTTCCATGTTGGGCTGAACATAGAGTTTCCTACAGCACTATCGAACACAATCTAGAAACAGCTGCCCCCTATACTCCCAACATCCCAGTAAAATACTAGGGTAAGTGAAATTCCCCATTAGAATTGCTCGATAATGCTGGAATTTCTCTAATATGACAAAATCCCTACAGTGTCGAAACAGGCCATTCGGCCCAACAAGTCCACACCGCCCCTCCGAAGAGCATCCCCTCCTGACTCATTCCCCTACCCCTGCATTTCCCCCGGTCTAACCCACCTAACCTGAACATCCCTGGATACAGGCAATTTTGAATGGCCAACCCACCTCGCCTGTACATCTTTGGACTGTGGGAGGAAACCAGAGCACTTGGAGGAAACCCATGCAGACACGGGGAGAACGTGCAAATTCCACACAGACAGTTGCCCGAGGGTGGAATTGAACCCGGGTCCCTAGTGCTGTGAGGCAGCAGTACTAACCACTGAGCCACTGTGTCACCCTGTGCCTTTCCCTGCAGATTTGTTCATAGACTCAAACATCACACAGTTTGTAGTTAAAAAATACATCCTAATATTTATATATTAATGTACAAGTATGTGCAAAATTGTAAACAGCTTGTGTCCTTTGGCTCAGTGAGGAATGGTCCATTGAAGGGTTTCAGAGGTGGGTCTGGGTCGAATGATTGATGATCTTCTTCTGTCTTCTGGCAATTTCCACAGTCAACCTGAAAAGGAGCATGGGCAGGTGGGAGCAAAGCAAAGCAAAGCAAGGCCTTAGACAAGGAGCTAGATCAAATAGGAGAGACAAACACAGGCTGAGCACAGGCAGGACAACAGGACAACCACTGCTGTGAACCACAAAAAGTACAATACAGTCAGAAACAAACACAACAGCAGACTCTCTTGCTCTCTCCAGATTATCAAGGTCAGAAAGGTACAATGGTCATCCTCAATGTGATCTATTCCTGGACAGAGTGGAGGCCAATCATTCTGGCTGTTAACAGTCAGACTCTAAACCATTGACTAACATAGCACCTCGTCACCCCCTCATTAACCAGGCACCTACCCCATTACCCAGTCACCGGCCAGATACCTCCCTCCCTATCAGCCCCTCACTGAGCAGATAACCCTCCTCCCTGTCACCTCATTAACCAGATACTTACCTCATCACTGCCTCACTGATCAGATACCTACCCTGTCATCCCCTCACCTGACCAGATACACACCTCCCCCAGTCACTTTTCACTAATCGGATACAACCTTCACTGACTCGATACTTAACTTTCACTTAGTTACTAACCAGACACCCACGCTGTCACCTTGGGTCACTCCCTCACTGAACAGAAACCCTCTTCCCCCATTGGACCCTCAGTTGCCAGTGAACTGACTCTGGTTACCTCAGGTTCCCTGGTGCTGGTTAGCCAATAGGCCACATTAGTCTTGGGAGTAGAATTCTGACTCGCTGCTGCAAGCCTCTAAAAATGGGGAATTCATGAAATTCATGATGTTACAGCATTCACTAATTACAGTGGTTAGTTACAGCAGTAAGCAGTGGTACAGTGGTAAGCATTCACACTAGTTACAGTGTTAAGCAGCACAGGTTTGCAACAATCCACCTTGTGCTAGGTCTATCTACCACCATGAACAGTGCAGGTTAGTGACACTTGTACTCTCATGTTACACAGGTTAGCATTTGAGGGAAGCAGTGTAGACTTAGGAGGTTGGACAAGCTAATAGTGACAGGAATTTGATTCAGCCATCAACACTGCAGGAGAATGAGGACAGACACTCTTGCTGGTTAGTGCTAACTAGGGCTTCAGACAGGGCTTTCAACTAACAGAAGGGCGAAGATCCACGTATAAGGAGATTTAGAAATCTTGAAAAGTTAAGGCAAAGTAAGAGTGCAGCAATGAGAATAAATGTGAAATAGAATAAGAAGGATCAGAGAGTTTAATAGTAATTGTGTAGTAAGATCATTGCAGGAACAGAAGTTAAAAAAATGTAATTTTATTTATCTCGACGAACAGAGCATCTCCAGGAAGATAATTTGAGGTCAATGATTTAGATCTAATTAACATCGCAGAAACATGGTTACAGGATTACGAAGGGTGGGAAACAAATACTCCAGGATGCACATTATGTCAGAGAGACAGCCAGAACAGTAAAGAAGGTAGCTCTGGTCGTAAAGGTGAGTAAGGACATTCCTAAAGAAGGAACTGGCCTCAAGCGCATGAGGCACACACTCAATATGGGTAGAAATTCTTAATAGCAAGAGTCAGAAAATACCTGTGCAAGTGTTTTCTAGGTTCCTAACAAAAACTACATATTGGACACAGCGTGAAATAAGAAAGCATTGGAATTTCTAATAAAGCAATGTAATCATTGAGGATTCAGAACAGGGGCACACTCTCAGGACAAGAGGGTGATCATTTCAGACAGAGATGAGGAAAAATCTCTTCATTCAAGGGTTTGAGAATCTTTGGAATTCTCTGCACCAAAAGTTATGGCGTCATCATTGTTGAACATATTTAATGCTGGGATCAACAGATCTTTGGTCTCTGGAGGAACTGAGGGGATCTGCAAGACGGATCAGAAAGTGGCGATAAAGCACATCAGCCATGATAGTACTCACTAAAAGGTAACTAGCTCAATGGGCTGCCGTGGTCTACCCTGATTCTCTCTCAGGTTGTAGTATAAAAGTGGCACATTTAGAGACAACGAAATTTGTGCTAGTGTCAAATTTGCTGTAATGATATGTGGCATTTCAGTGCAGGAGAAGTTTTCGTTAGTTAGTTAAGTCAGCTAATTAGTTAAAATTGTAAGCAGTATATGTTAACAATGGTGGACCTGTTCCTGTTATTAGCAGTTAGTAATAGCAATAAACACAGTGTAGGTTAATGACAGTGAACGTGTTGCTAGCCATAGCAGGAAGTATTGGAATGCTCCTGAAGATTAACTTTCTTGGTTTACTGAGTCTTTCACCAAAGGCTTGATTGTGGGTTTATCAACTTGTTTTTTTTTAAAAAGATATCCCGTATTGAGAGCTCATTTCTGCAGAGAGAGGAGGAGATGGGCTCAGGGACAAGGTGGAAGATTATCAAGAGCTGGTGATCAGGTCTAGGGCCCTGACTGCCAGAAACCTCTTCATCCTCAGATCTTTCCAAGGATTACCTGAAATTAACAGATACTCCCAGATGGTGAGAGATAACATCCTTGAGACCCTGCGTCAAAATGAAAAATGGAATCAGGGTTGAAAAGGCATGCTGGAGGTAATGGGAATGTAGGTGTCAGAAAGTGGGGGTGGGGAGAGAGAGGAAGTGGGGGTGGGGAGGGGGGGGGGAAAAAAAAAGAGAGAGTAAGGAGGGGGCAGAGGGAGGAAGGAGGGAAAGTTGACAAGACAAAGGGAGGGCAACAGGCTAGGCATGACTGGAGCAGGGGAGTGGGCAGGCAGGAGCGGGTGAGGGGGCGGAGTGGGGAGGCTGGAGCGGACAAGGGGGCGGAGCACGCTGGCGGGGGAGCATGTTAGAGCGAGAACGAGAAGAAAAATTTGCAGTGAAGATGGGTCTTCTGATGGAGACATGGGTGTCAGCTGTGAGGGGTTGACAGAGTGTAAGGGGCTGAAGAGGAGAGGGTGACAAGGAATGAAGGGGAAGGATTGATAAGTAGAGTTAAGGAGGATGGGACGAGGATGACGGGGACAAATAATAGATTAGGTGGGGATAAGGAAATGGATGTGTTGGATGGATGGATGGATGGATGGATGGAGGGAGATCAGTGGAGTACTTGGGATTGACTGACTAATTCCTGAGCCAATATTAACAGCAGCAAAGGGGAAAGGGAGCGGTTCACTTCTCTAGAAGATACTGTTTTACTCCAATGCAGATTAGAATGACAACCAGCAGGGTTCGAGTGACTGAACTCTGACCTCCTACTGGTTCCTTACTCCAGGCTACTCACTTACCTGTCGACTGAACAGTCTCTGCAGTAATCCCTTCCTGGGCGGGGTCTCAGCCTGCCCCCTCCAGTCCAGGTCTGGGGGTACTGAACCATTACTCCCAAAAACATTCAGCTCACTGAAGCATTCTGTCTCGATCATCTGGAACACCAAAACACACTCCGTGAGGAGACCAACACAGCAACCGAACAATATCACTAGCAACAGCAGAGTGATGCCAAGGGTGAGTGGGTATACCCTGAGGAACTGAGGGTGGAAGTGAGTAAACCCTGTGACAGTGAAGGTGATAACATGGTGGTGGGATGTACAATGCAAGGGGTTCAAGCTGTATACTGAGTCCAACCGCAAACACTGCAATTAGGTCTCCTGCAAAGAGGAACTAGATTTGGTCGAGCGAATGCTGTCATCATAGAAGATCGTAGAATCCCTACAGCGTGGAAGCAGGCCCTTCGGCCCAACAAGTCCACACCAACCCTCAGAGCATCCCACCCAGACCCATCCCCTTATAATCCACCTAATCTACACACTCCTGAACACAAGGGGAAATTTAGCATGACCAATCCACCGAGCCTGCATATCTTTGGGCTGTGGGAGGAAACCGGAGCACCCGGAGGAAACCCACGCAGACATGGGGAATGTGCAAACTCCACACAGACAGTGGCCCAAGGGCGGAATCGAACCCAGGTCCCTGGTGCTGTGAGGTAGCAGGGCTAACCACTGAGCCACCATGCCGCTATAGTGCAGCAAATGGGGTAAATGGCCTTTTTCTAAGAATTATGATTCTATTACTAGAATTACCTCATTCTGCCAGGGGATGGAGACAGACCCTGTGGCAAACCTGGTGTAGAAATCATTATCAGCAGGACCCAATTCCACTCCCTTCACTGTAGAGAACTGCTCGATGTCCAATACATCTTTGCAGTAGATTGCTTGTGGCTGTGGAAAAATGCGATGAGTCAGATACAGTACTAAGGACCATCCTCATGTGAGATACAGGAGCAGAGCAATACCAGCTTAACCCCAGAGAAGAACATTTGGCTCCATGTATATTTATGTCATATGAACAGGTACCCGAAATCATCCTAATGACAAAAAGGAACACAGGCCTTATAATTGAGAGTGAGCATACAGGAGTCCAGCCCTTTGCTCTGATTAGTTCCTATCTGGAACACTGTGGTAGCTCTGAGCACCACACAATCAGAATATTCATCTTGAAACAAATGTAAATGCAAGTTAAAAGGATATGTCAAAGCCAGGAGAGAGAGCTAGAGTGCGAGCGCACATGCAAGAGAGAGCATTAGAGCATGTGAGAAGTTTGGGGGTGGGGGAGAAAAAGGGGTAAAGCACTTACGTCAGGTATGAAAGGAGGCTGTACCATTCCTGCCTCAAGCCGTTTGAAGTTTATGTCTTGAAATAGAGGATGCTCCTTAATCTCACATGAACCCCTTCCACAGCAGCCCAACCGCTCCTCAGGGGCTTTTCTCAATAACTGTGGAGACACAGCTCATGATCAGTTACCCCACCCACAATTAAAAATGTACCCCCCCCCCCCCCTCCCCCACAACCCCAGAGAGCCAGATACCCTTCATTCAGACCCAGGCACCCACCCCACACACCCCTCTCCCTCACAGCCAGAACCCACCTCACACATCCCTCCATTTCCATACCCAGAAACACACCACTCCATACCCTGTCACACCCTCACCCCAACACACCACTCCTCACCTCGAGATGCCCATCACAGATCCACATACAAAATGCTTGGACAGCCAGGTACTCTCCCTCACAAACCAGATACCCATACATTCACCGCACCCTCCCCACCCACCACCTCCCTTCGTCCCTGTACACTCCCCTTGTACACCAAACCCCATCCCCATCATACATACATACTTTTCCTAGTCCATCGTACCAGAAGCCGCCACACAAATTTAGTTTCCCCAACCCCTCTACATATACTCCTCTGTCATACACCTAAAGACCCCCATAGTACTTTCCCTTACCCTGCCATATACCAGACTCTGCCATACTCACCAGCTGACACAGTGAACGTGCTTGTGTTGAGAACTTGTCAGAGTAGGTCTCCTGCTCCTCCCTGACCCGCCGTTCTACCTCCTCCCGTTTGATCTTTTTCTTGCGCTGTTGAAATGGTGATTGTCCCTCAATCATCTCGTAAAAGAGGCAACCCAGACCCCACCAATCAGGGCTGAACGTGTAACGCTCATTCTTTACAACTTCAGGAGCTTGAACAGATTAAGACATTTACAGGTCAGCAGCAATCCTCCAGTTTGGCCAATGCATCTAGCTCCCTCTCTCATTTTCATTCTTCCTCATATACTGGAGTTTTTCTTGGATGTAACTAGCAGAAGAGATAAAGGGAGGCCAGCAGATGTGATAGATTTACAATTTTCAGAAGGCATGTGATAAGGTGCCCCACGAGTGTCTGTTATACAAGAGGTGGTCTCATGGGAAGTCAGACAGCAGGAATAAATAGCCAGTTGTAACTGGTATGTGCCAGAAGGACTGTGCCGGGCCCTCCGCTATTTACAGTTGGTATTTATGTCTTAGATGAAGGCACTGTGTAATATATTGCTGACAAGACAAGGCTAGATCAGAATGAAAACAGTGAGGGAGATACAAAGGAAGCATATCAGCAGAGTTTCCTACTCCCACTGTTCCTGATAAATGTCAATGATCTAGGCCTCAGTGAATGGGCGCAAATGTTAAAATCTGTAAATGTCAAAAACCTGGAAATGTTATAAACAGTGAAGAGGATAGCTATAAAAGTTAAAAAGGACTTAGGCAGCTGGGGAAGTGGGTGAACTGGCGACAGAGAATAGTGAAGGGATTAATTTTGTTGGAAGAACAGAGAGACAACATAAAGTAATTAGGTACATCTCCTAAATGGGGTGCAGGAGCAGAAGGGCCTGGGTGGGTTAATGTTTAATTCATTAAAAGCGCCATGTCAGATTGAAGGAACTTCTATATTTTATTCACCTTACAATTAACCCTAACATGCCTCTTTGATTTCCTGATTACCTCTTGTACCGAGGATGCTGGAGATCTGAAACTATCTATACAGTTACTGCCAGACCTGCTGAGTTTCTCGAGCAATTTCTATTCTTGTTTCCTATCAACTTTTTATGATTCATTGCCAGGACACCCAGATCCATCTGTCCTGCCAGGTATTGCAATCACTGTTTTAATAATCTACTACCATTCCATTCTTTCTGTAAAAATGTGGACAAGTTTGCATTTTCCTTAGTTACACTCAAATGCTAATTTTGTGGCCATTGACTTCATCTATGTCCCTTTATGACTCATTATGTCCTCCTCACAAAAAGTTTCTTTTTAGTCTTTGAGTCACCAAATTTAACAATAATACATTGGGTGCCATGTCCAAAATCACCAATATACTAGCCAGCGGAGATGCTCCGCTCAGGCCTCCAGCCCACTGGCCAGGAATGGTTGTTGTACTGATGACCAGTGTGAGCGGTCAGCAGCTTGCGAGCCCAGTTTGATCATGTGTGGAAGCTCCTTGTGTTGATCTACTGCAGGCCCTTTATGGAAAGACTGTAATGCTTATCTTTTAACTATTTCTCATTTTTTAAACTTGTAACTGTTTTTGCTCTCTTCTCTTCATTTCTCTATTTGGTATCTAATATCTGTACCTAGGTACTTTGTACTTAAGATGGTGCCACATGGGACAATATTGTAAACTTTTCACTGTACTCTTGTATTTCCGTACTTGAGTACACATAATAATAAAAGGATATTCTAATTCTCGTATATAATTGTAACCTGTTGAGGCACGAGCACTGGTTCCAGTACTTTTTCCACTTGTTGGTGAAATGCAAACTGAAAATGACTTGTTTATTCTTTTTCTTCTTCCTCTTTGCTATTCAATTTTCTATTTACATGAATACTTTACCCTACACATCATGAGCTCTTATTTTGCTCAGTATCCCTTGATATGATTAAGTTATCAAACATCATTTGGAAGTCCAGGTACACTACATCTACAGGTTCCCCTTACTTACACGACTTCCAAGACCCCTCGTGGAATGTCCCAATCAGTCCTAGCCCTCTCCTCTGACGCTGTAGCACTACAAGCTGGTTTCCTTCAAATGATTATGAAGTTCCCTTTCAAAACCATTGTTTCTGCTTCTCATAGGTCACTACCACTCAATGGGTAAAAATCTGTGATTCTATGGGAAGATACCACACGGCAGGGAGGAAGCATTAGGAGTGATGGAGGAGTGAACCACAGCATCCTGGAGGAAACAGTCCGTGTGGAGAGGAGGGAAAGATGCATCTGGTGGTGGCCCCTTGTTGGGGAAGGCAGAAATGGCAGAGGATGATCCTTTGAATGTGAAGACTGAAGGGTTGGAAAGTGAGAACAAAGGGAACCTTATTGTTAGTCTGGAAGGGAGGGAGGGGAGGGGGTGAGGGCAGAAGTGAGGGCCCTGTAAACCACAGTGGAAGAGGGAGTGGGGACAAGGAGTAGGGAATTCTTGTCCGGGGCAGCCCAGTGGAAGATTACCACCACAATCTAATTTTTTCTGTATGGATGTCGGCTGTGCTGCAGAATCCCAGGATATATGAGTACAGTGATCTTTCTAGACGTGCTACTGTTATAGTTTCTGGGAATGTTCTTCAAAGTCCAAGTTAGCTTCTCCCTCAAGATTTTGCAGTAGTTTCCAAATACAATGATACAGCTCCACCGGGGTCAGACGTGGAGTGGGATCAATACGGACTACTCGCTCTCTCTCTCTCCCCTGCCAGTTGACAGCACTGGCAAGGACCAATTCTCCATTTAAATACCGTACTCACCCATATAGCCCACGGTGCCCACTCTGCCTTTGACTGTCTGTCCTTCTGGCACGTACACTGCCAGGCCCAAGTCCGATATCCGAATGTGACCTGTACAAACAGCACTCGCTTTAACAGCATCCACTGCACACCCAAATGCTATCAAACAAGGAAGGTTGACTTGGTCCAGAGGCACATGATAGAAATCCTTCCCTGCAGTGGCTGCTGTCCCAGTGTTACAACCTCAGTGTGGGCTCAGACACAGAACCAGCTGCTATAAACAGCTGAAGACAATTCTCCAATTTTCACAGCAATTGGGCAATCTGGGCTGTTGGTCCCGACCCAGCATCCATGCACACTGTCCTGTTGTGCCCTGCTGATCTCCCTACCCCTCTCCCATCACCAACTTCCCCGATCACCCCCAACCCGCTGCATAGCAATACCCTGGTGCAGATTCATTTACGTACCATGATCATCCAGGAGCAGATTTTCCGGCTTCAAGTCTCTGCAAAAGACAGATCCATCAGTGGGGGGTAAGCAGAAGAACAGGAGGGGGTGTGGGCAGAGAGATAGGTACGTAGCACAGCATGTTGGGCCACAGGGATATGGCACCCAGCCATTTCTCCAGGAAGGGGCACAGGTAATAATGGAAGAACAGGAAAAGTGTCAAATGTCATGGGAAAGTATGTGACTGCTCAAATGTGTCATGTACTCACCTGTAAACCACCCTCTCTCTCTGCAGATGCTCAAGACCACAGCATATTTGGGCTACATAGAAGACAGCACGTTGCTCCTGAAAGCCGGCCTCACCCATGTGATAGATATGAAACTTGAGATCTCCTCCGTTCATCAGTGTTAAGACCAGACACAAAGCATCCTTTGTCTCATAGGCGTAGGCAAGGCTCACCTGCAACAAAACAGGTCAGGTCTCAAAGAGGCAAGCGCCTTGACTTGGCACAGACACAGGCAGGTAGACAAGGGCACTGACACATGTATGAGCATGTGTGCCTGTGCAAACGGAGCAAGTTATAGGGGACAGGTCCTGTGGGTTCTATCCCAGATTGACAATGAATTAGATTTGTCTGCAAGGGAGAGGAAACCTTCTGAAGGCATGGGATCGGCTCAGCCCACTGACAGCTGGTGGGGGGTAAAGAGAAGGGTACAGACAGGAGCAGCATAGTTAGGGAAATAATGGAATTCAATGGCAAAGGTGCCATTATACAGAAATAAAAAACTTTTCCTGTACATCCTTAATTTAGGACAAAATAATTATCATGTACGAGAAAAGATGGCAGTCCAGACAAAATGTGGGGATGGAAGCAGACTACAGGTTTGGTGAAGGGTTGCTCATGGATTAAGAGCTCCATCTGTTGCTCTGATAGTGAATCCATTTCAAGTACTTACTACAAACCTACTGTTCACTTTCTCCAAAATTTCTTTCTCATTTAAAGTCATGACCTCTCCTTTTCGCTTTTTGATTCGTTTCTTCTCTAGCTTTTTACAGGCATACATCTTCCCTGTGGCTCGAACCTGACAGGCACAGACCTGAGGGAGAAGGGTACAGATATCAAACAAGAGGCACAGGAGGATCTCACTGACAGCTGTTTGCCCAACACAATACTTACCTCCCCAAAGCCTCCCTTTCCCAGTACCCGATACTGGCGGAAGTTGTACTTGGTCACAGGCTGCCTGTGAATAAGAGAGAGCCAAATTATACACCAGAATTGTGGTCTAAGCTTCCATGGAGAGGTGCTAATGAATATGTTCACGAGCACAGCAATCCCCAAGGGAATTAGCTTACAGGGACAGATCTACTTAGATACAAGGCTCCCAATCATTGGGTCACCTCAGATTCCATACGAGAATGTCCCAGCCCTGTCCTCACCCAAACATCCACATCAGTCTATGTACTTTCCGATCCTCCTTCTGAACAGCATGGTAACAACTTTGTTGGCCAGTACTCACCTCTCCAGGTACTTCCATTGGAGGAAGCGATTGAAGTACAAACTGTCCTGGTAATCAGAGAAAGGTGCAACACTCAGAAAATCATGGATCAATCTGTTAATGGGAGAGAGTGTTGAATACGCATATGACTGACTGAAGATAACACAATCAGCAAACACTGTCCACCACATTCCAACTCCCATACACACTCTGCCCATGCTCGCCCCAATGACACACACTGCTCATGCTTCCCCACCTTTTGAGGTGTCTAATTATAGAGTTTGTGCACTTCCCTCTGCGTATCTACTCCCTCACTGAAACCACCTATTTCCACATCAAACATCACCTGAATATGACCCTGTTTCAGTTCATCATCAATACCTTTTACCTCTAGACTTGACTATTTTGATGTTCCTGGCTGGACTATTAGAATCTTGCCCTCAACAACCTTGAGCTCACTGAAACTCATTGTCCATGTTCCAAGTCACAGTCAGTCCCATTCTCCTCTCACTTTTGTGCTCACAAACCCATGCTGATTCACAGACAAGCAGCATCTTGATTTTAAAATCCTCATCATTGTTTCCAAATCCTTCCATTACCCCACTACCGTGATCTCTTCCAGCCCCACAACCATCCAATATCACTAGCCTCCTCTAACTGCAGTTCCTGAGCATCTCCATTTTAAATGCTCTGCCATTTAAGGCTATGCCTTAAGTTCCTAGGGACCAAGCTCCAGAAAGCGCTCCCTATACCCCTCCGCCTCACTCTCTTTTTGTAAGATACTCTTTCAAATCTCCCTCTTCAACAAGCTCAATACCTTATACTTCTAAAGCTCCTGTGGAACAGCGTGGGTCAAATCACCGTGTTAAAGGTGCTATGTCATTGCAATAGACATAAAACATTGATCTGATTATTCAGAGAATCCAGAGCTGAACCACAGCTTCTCTCCACCACACTCACTTATGACATTCCTTGAAGAGCTCCTTGCAGGCTCCATTTTGCAGCTCTTGCAAACAATGATTCCTCATGTCACTGGGTATCTCTGAAATATAATCAGGAGACTAAAGAGAAAATAAAAGTCAAGATCAGCATGATTCAGAGCTCTCAATTCAAACTTGTGCTTTTTGCACAAAAACGTAGGTCAATGCAGAGATGTACATCAACCTAGCTTAACCCCCTGACCATATAGAGTTCCAGGAACCCAACACCACATCACACCACCCAGCCCACACCATCTGCACAGTCAGTGATTGAGAGGAGGATATATGGGGACAGGAGTGAAGACATTCTAATACCTTGGGGTTGAGGAACCTGTCCACAAGGCACTGACCACACTCCTTTCGCTTTTCATCTGGAGTCACCTCATAGTCAGCCTGGGAAGGAAGCATAAACAGACCATCAACAACATCAGAACAGCAGAAATAGGAGAAGACCATTCAGACCATTGAGCCTGCTTCTCTTCCAATACCATTACAGATGGTCTTCGGTTTCATCTGCCCCATCACTTTTTATCTCTCCATTCCCAAGGCACAAAACATCTGTCAACCTCAGTCGTAAATATTTTCAATGATGGAGACTCCACAGCTTTCTCAGGTGGAAAATTCCAAAAAGTCACAACCCAGTGAGAGAACTTCTCCTCCTCTCAGTCTGAAATGATCAGCCCCTTTCCCTGACATAGGGTCTCCATGTTCACGATTGCCATCCCAGGGAAACAATGTCTCAGTTTCTACCCTATCAAGACCTTCCAGAATCTTCAGTGCTTCAATGAAACCATCTCTCATTCTTCTAATCTTAAGAATATTGACTCAATTTTCCCTGTGTTGCATGACAGGATAGTCCACTTCTTTGGACCTAACCAAAGTCTTAAGTCTATATCAGCTAGAACAGCAATCAAACCCATGCTGGTTGCTTAATTCTGAACCACAGAAGTGTCATCAAGTCAACTGCACTAGCCAATCCCCCAATCTCCCTCAAACATAGACTGTAGTAAGCTGCTGAGTAGCGAATTGGAAATCAAACCCACTGTTCCTAGCATCATCCCAAATGTGAAATTATTTAATCAAACTATTCAAAGTCCCCAATTTACTGAACTGACAAACTCAAGTTTAAAAAAAGTACAGAACCCAATGAGATATTAAAGAAAATAAACTGTTTAACAGGAATTCTCACTAGCCAACAGCAAAAATGAAACAGGAATTATCATCTTCCAACTCTATAACTTAAACTTCTATCCCTTCACAAATAGACTGACACAAAGACAGATATGGATATTAAGAGTGGAACTGAAGGAGGGTGCAAAACACAGTGGGATCGCACCCGTCTGGACTGCTGGAGTTGGTCAGTTGTTTGTTTCAGTTCCTCCGATTCCTTTCAGTACATCAACACTTTTATCCATGGATTGAGAATTTGCCCTTTCACGGTCTCGGAAGAGGATTTATTCCTCCTTCAACAGGGTTTGGAGAGTGACAGCAGGCAAGTGGGCAGCAGAAAGAGGCTGGGAGCAAGCAGGACGGCGCAGGGAGAGAAAGAAAAGGGCGAGGGGAGAGAAAGAGGAACAAAAGGAAGAGGGAGAGACAAGAGAAGAAAAACAAGGAAGAGAGAGAGAGAAGAAAGGGGAGACAAAGTTTTTTTTATAATGCTCTTTCTTTGCAAGTTCGATGCTTCATTTCCACACTAGCCCTACGAAAGCCATGGTCATCTGGTCGGGAATAAATTAAAACATTGCTGTAAAGCAATTCTCCCTCTAGTTCAGAACCCATTGGCTCTACAGCATCTAGTTTTTGCTCTCACTGTTCCAAGAAAAGGCAACAAGGTCTGTAACTGTCAATGCACTCCAATAAAGATTTTTTTTAAACACTGCAGCTATCTCTTCATGCAGCCTCCTGGAGTTAAATCAATATTTTTCTTTTTCAGTCCAGAGTCCAAAAGTAAAGTACATAAAATAATCCAGGAAACAAAATCAAATGAGAAAGGGGGAAAAAAAAAAGAGGATCAATCCAACCTAGCGAATTACCAGCCCATCAGTTGACTCCAAAGTGGTGTAAGGCATTATCAACCAAAGTATCAAGCAGCACCTGCTCAGCAACGCCCAGTGTAGATTTCACAATATCACTCAGCTCCTCACTTCATTACAGCCTTGGGGCAAACATGGACACATACAAAAAAGTTTAACTCCAGAGGTAAAGTGAGAATGACTGCCTTTGACCTCAAGGCCACATTCAACTGAGTGTGGCATCAAGGAGCCCTAGCAAAACTGGACTCAATTATTGGGGAAAAATTTCATTAGTTGGTACAAAGAAAGATGGTTATCATTGTTGGGGGTCAGTCATCTCAGCTCCAGGACATCCATATAGAAGTTCCTCAGGGTAGTGTCCTAGGCCCAACCAACTTCAGCTGCTTCAGCAATGCCCTTCCCTTCATCATAAAGTCAGTGGTGGAGATATTTGCTGATGATTGCACAATGTTCAACATTCATGACTCCTGATACTGAAGCAATCCAGTTCAAATGTAACAAGACCCGATCAATATCTAGGTTTGGGCTGGCAAGTAGAAATTAACATTCACACCAGGCAATGACCATCTCTATCAAATCAGAACTTAAACCTCTGCCCCATTCAATAGTGTTATCATCCTTGAATCCCTCACTACCAACATCCTAGGGGTTACCATTCAGCAAGTTTGCTGACGATACAAAATTTGGCAGGGAAATAAGTAAATAGTGAGGACGAAATGTGAGGTGATGCACCTGTCCAGGACAAACAAGAGAGTACATGGTCAATGATAGGGCCCTGGGAAGCACTGAGGATCAGAGTGGCCTTGGCATTCACATACACTGAGGGACATAGATAAGGTAGACAGGAAGAAACTTTTCCTCTTATTTGAGGGGCCAATGACCACAGAGTATAGATTTAAAGCAAGAGGCAGAAGGTTAGACAAGATGCGAGAAAAATAAAACATTTTCATCTAGAGAGGGTGGTGAGAACCTGAAACTCACTGCAAGGGTGGCAGAGGCAGAAATCCTCATGACATTTTAGTAGTGTTTAGATGCATACTTGCAATGTTGAGGCATTCAAGGCTGAGCCAAGCGCTGGAAAAGGGGGATCAGAATAACTGGATTATTTTTGACAACATGGATGTGATGGACCAAAAGGCCTTTTTCTGTGTTATAGATCTTTTATGACCAGAAATTCAACTGGACTAGCCATATCAATACATTGGCTACAACAGCAGGTCGGAGGCTGGGGATTCATCAGTGGGTAACTCACCTCCTGACTCCCCAAAGCCTGTCTAGAAGACACAAGGCATAATCCTCACTTGCCCGGATGGGTGTAGCTCCAACACAAGCACAAAGTAACCCACTTAATTGACATCAGATCAACCACCTCAACGTCCTTCCCCTAAAACACCAACACTCAGAAGCAGCAGTATGGACTAAGTTCCAATCCTATTTCAAGCCCCCATCCACAACTTTTTCTTCAGTAAATTGACAATATCAGTGCTGCTTCCCTCTCTTGCTTGGAATTCGAAAGGTTTATTGATTTAGTTTCCAATTTCCACTCTGCCCTCACTTTCACTTGGTCCATCTCAGACTTCTCCCTCCCTTCCTTGACATCTGTTTCCATTTCTGGGGATAGGCTGTCCACTAATATCCACCATAAACCCACTTACTCCTAGAGTTACCTTGACCATACATCCTCACACCCTGCACCCGGTAAAGACTCGATTTCATTCTGCCCGTTCTTCAGTCTCTGTTGCATCTATTATGATGATGCCAACTTTGATGAGGGTGCCTCCGAAATGTGCACCTTCTTCCTCAATCAAGGATCCTCCAGTGCTATAGTTGACAAGGCCCTTGGTTGGGTCTGACCCATCTCCAGCACTTCGGCCCTCACCCCTTCCATGCCCTCCCACAAAAGTGATAGGGTCCCCCTTGTCCTTACCTATTGTCCCACCAGCATCCAGATCCAGAGAATCATTAGCCACCATTTCCACCACCTCCAGCCAGATGCCACCACCAGACACATATTCCTCTCCTTTCCCTTGTCAGCCTTCCACAGGGACCATTCCCTCCAGGACACCCTAGTCCACTCTTCCTTCATTCCCAAAACCCCTTACAGCACCTTCCCCTGCAACCACAGAAGGTGTAACACCCGTCCGTTTACTTCCATCCTCCTCAGTATGCAAGGGCCCAAACACACCTTCCAGGTGAAGCAGCACTTTACCTGCACTTCCCACAATCTAGTCCATGAGATTCGCTGCTCACAATGTGGTCTTCTCTACACTGGGGAAACTAAGTGTAAACTGGGTGACCGCTTTGCGGAACACCTACGTTCTGTCTGCAAAAAAGATCCTGAGCTTCCAGTTGCCTGTCACTTAAACATACCATCCTGTTCCTTGGCCAACATCTGTCCCAGGCTTACTGCAATGTTCCAATGGAACTCAGCATAAGCTGGAAGAACAGCATCTCATTTTCCATTTGGGTGATCCTGCAGCCTTCTGGACTCAGAGTTCAACAACTTTAGGGCTTAAACTCTCCCATGTCCTAACCCCAAACCCCACATACCAGGCTTTGTTATCAATGTGCTACTACACACAATCCATTCTCAGCCACTAATAGTCCTCATTAATAGCTATTCATCCTCCTAGCCAGATCGTTTTCAACTCCTTTGTCTGTCCCCAGTTGTTCTTCTCTCTCTTTGGGCTCTATCCCCACTTATCATTTACTCCCTCTCCCACTACCCTATTTTCTACATAAAAACCAAAATTTTCTAAGCTACCGTCAGTTCTGAGGAAGGGTCACTTAGCCTAAAATGTTAACTGTGATTTCTCGCCTCTGATGCTGCCAGACTTGCTGAGCTTTTCCAGCAACTTCTATACTATCTACAACTTGCAATGCAGAAAGATCTTTAGACAACTTCCAAATCATGACCACTTCCATCTCGAAGGTCAAGGGCAACATATATATGGTAACACCAACATTTGCATGTTCACTTGCAAGCTCCCCTCCAAGCCCCTCACCATCCTGTCTTGGAATTACAACACTGTTCCTTCAGTGTCACTGGATTAAAAATCCTGGAATTCCCTCCCTAACAAGGTGCAGCCAAAGTGCAGTGATCTTGGGCCAAACAATCAAATCTGTGTTAAGATTTGACTAGGGACCAGAGAATAAAGCAAACTGAGCCATGGTCTTTCAAGAAAGACAAACTTTACTATACAAAGTTAGGGCAGCAATAAAATCTTTTTAAAAAAAGCCATAAATTTATAGTCTAGTACTCATTTACAAAGAACAAAGAAAATTACAGCACAGGAGCAGGCCCTTCGGCCCTCCAAGCCTGCACCGACATGCTGCCAGTCACAACTAAAACCCCCTACTCTTCCGGGGACCATATCCCTCTATTCCCATCCTATTCATTTGTCAAGATGCCCTAAAAGTCACTATAGTATCTGCTTTCACTACCTCCCCTGGCAGCTAGTTCCAGGCACCCATCACCCTCTGTGTTTAAAAAAAAATTACCTTGTACCTCTGGCCAACTCTAAGTGACAAATTATGGTTGCAAGCCCCATTCAAAATATCAAATCAGTAAAAGGCAGATCCCTTTGATCGCACACTAACGCCAAAAACATTAATTATACAATTGATCATTAAACTCTACAATGATTGCAGTTCTTCGTTTTTGAAGGCCTAGCCTCAAAAGTCACCGTCTCATAGGCTGCCTCAGCAACCGCTCAATTTCTGGTACAAAGAACAATACAGCGCAGGAACAGGCCCTTTAGGCCTCCAAGCCTGTGCTGACACATTTTGCCCTTCCAAATGACAACTGCCTTCACTTACAGGATCCGTATTCCCTTCCTTTTCATGTATTCATCCAGGTGCTTCTTGAATGTTGAATCTGTTTCCACTGCCTCCTCTGGCAACGCATTCCAGGCACTCAGCATTCTTTGAGAGAAACTTGCCTCGCACATCTCTTCATAAGATTAGCTCTGCTCCTGCGTTTCTGTGAGCTCCAATCCTGCTTAGCTGCACTAAGTAAATAATGCTTGTGGGCTTATTTCACCCCCACTTTCACTTTTACTGAATTATTAATTGCTCCTAGGCTTCTTTGAGCCTAAACAGCATCCCAGACTTTTCCTGAGAGCTAATCCCAATATTTAAGCGCTACTGCCTCACAGGGCTCTCCAAAACTTAGGTACCACAGTAGCATCCTTTTCAGGAAGGAATCTCCTCTCTCTGCTCCCAAGTATCTGACTGACTAGGAGTTCAAACTACCTGCTTCCACACGCTCCAACTGTTACCTGAACTTTGAACTGATATGGATGACCTTTTGAAAGCTTTACAACAAACCCTGCCTTCATCCCTTGGCAGGATTGAATAATAGTGATTTGAATAATTGGAACACTAAATGGTTCCTGAATATTACAATTCTCCAGCTAATTTCCTCTCCATAGCTGTCAGCACTGATAATACAGCTGAAACAGATACTTAGAAAAAAAAGATTTCATCATTATCTACATCAAAGGGACTGCAACTGTTCATCAGCACCTCAAATGTGATTACAGTTAGACAACCCAGCTAATGAAATTTTCAGACACCAAGAATGAATCAAGAGAAATTTTTAAAAAGTACGAGCAGAGGCTACAGCTTGAATAGTTTAGACAATTAAATCAAGGCATAAAATAGTCTCAGAACATAATGAGAGGAAGCAGTCTTTGTGACTGTGAAATCAGCTTTGTCACATTATTGGACTGAGGGAAAAATTTATAATATTACAATTAAACTTGCATTCTAAAGTCAAGGTCCATGGAGTTTTGATTTTCAGGTCTGTGAAGGTGACTTATTAGTAAAGGATCAAACACTTTTTAAAAAAAAACCAAGCCAAAATAGCCTTTTCATGTTATCATATAATTTAACCAAATCACACAATGAGAAAAACAGAGCAGAGGTCACGCTCTAAAGTTGTGGGCCTCAATATTGCAAAGTGCCTAAGCAGAAAATGAGGTGCTGTTCTTTGAGCTGGATTTCAGAACCATTTCTACAACGCTTTTTCTGATGCGATGATGTTCCTATGTTGTGAAAGATTAATTTAACCTGTCAATTGATTTTTTTGTTCAAAAACCAAAAAGGAACTTGACTCTTATTCCTAATCTTCTTTGTTTTAAAAAAATGTTTGTCTTTTGATTTACGAAAGAGTGGATTGGATGATCTACTTCTGAACGTACCCAGGTCTGAATGTGTCAAGGTAGGCCACATGCAGACCTGCAGGAGAGAAAACAGAGAAGGGCTGGGTCTGGGAGGGGTACCTAGGGCTGGGCAGAGGTGCCAACAGCACTTGTCAGGCATTGTACGAACTACTCAGCCTGCTCCATCACAATATGATGCTTGGACAGTACAACAGTCATGTGGGTTTAATTGTTGCAAGGAGCCAGGTCTGTCCACAAGAAACAGCAACATGGAGAGAAATAAAAAAGTGCTGGCAGCATTCAATGGGACAGAGTCATTGGTTCAAACAGTTGTAGGCTCCAGCACAAACACTTACCATGGCATCTAGAAACTGCACACAGTGACATAACTCTGACCGGGTCTCACAGAACTGGCGGAACAGTAGCCTCCCAATAGGCTGTTCATCACAAAGACTCTTATAGTCCTTCTCTATAAGGAGAAGCAATAAATTCAAGATTAGAGCAATTCACTCAACCGATCATAAGAAATCTACAATTCACTAATCAGTGAATAAAATTACTCTGGTACAGTAACCACAACAATGTACCTGGGCAAATAAACCAGCCAAAAAAAAAAACAAAAATAACAGTTCAGCTATACAAACACTGTCAAATTCTACCTGAAGACACCATACCCATAACACAGAACCTGATGGGGAATCTCACGCTCCACTGAACCAATGTTTGTTTTTTTATTTACTTATGGGATATGGGTGCCACTGGCTGGGTCAGCATTTGCTGGCCATTCCTAGTTGCCCCAGAGAAGGTGGTAGCGATTTCCCTTCTTGACTCGCAGTGCTATTAGGAAGGGAGCTCCAGGATTTTGACCCTTTGACAGTGATGGAATGGCATACTTTTCCAGGTCAAATCTTGAAAGGGAACTTGCATATGGTGGTAGGCCCACATATCTGGTGCCCTTGTCCTTCTAGATGGAAGTGATTGTGGGTTTGGAAGGTGCAGTGCATCTTGTAGATAGTACACACTGCTGCTACTGAGCGTCGGTGGAGGGAGTGGATGTTGGGGTGTCAATTGAGTGAGTTGCTGTGTCTCGGTTTGAATCATAGAATCAGTGTGGAAGCAGGCCATTCGGCCCATTGAGTCTACATCGACCCTCTAAAGAGCATCCCACCACCAACCCTGCAACCCTGTAATTATGCAGGGCTAATCCATCTAATCTACACATCCCGAGACACTACAGGCAATTTAGCATAGCCAATCCACCAAACCTGCACATCTTTGGACTGTGGGAGGAAACTGGAGCACTTGGAGGAAACCCACACAGACAGGGGAAGAATGTGCAAACTCCACAGACGGTCGCCCAAGGCTGGAATCGAACCCAGGTCCCTGGAGCTGTGAGGCAAGTGCTAACCACTGAGTCACTGTGCCACCCCTCGTTTCAACTTGTTGAAACCATAAGATCAGAAGACACAACAGAAAAAGACTTATTACCCCTGCTCCACCAACGAACAGCATGGCTCACTAGATAATAGTCTTCGACTCCACTCTTCTGCCATTTTTACATAATCCTCAATTCCTTGAATATACTTAACGAACCAGCCTCAACAGCCCTCAGTGGTGAAGTATTCCATAGATTTACTACCCTTCAAGAAGCAATTCCTCATTACCTAGGAAAATGAGCTACATCTTATTCTGAAATTATGCCCTCTGGTCCTAGACTCTCACAAAAGGGACATAACATTTCCACATTTACCCAGTGATGTTCCCCAAGAATCTTGTATGTTTCAATAAAGTTGCCTCTCATTCTTCTAAACCCCACGAATTCAAGCCCAACTTAACTTCTCCTCATTAACACTACTTCTGTGCCTTGTATCAGTCTAGTGAACTTACTCTGGACTGACAATATGGAACCTTCTGAATGTCATTATATTTTTCCTTATGTAAGATTATCAAAACTTATAAAACCCTGGTTAGACCATTCTTGAAATATTGTGTTCAGTTCTGGTTGGCTCATTATAGGAAGGATGTGGAAGCTTTAGAGAGGGTGCAGGGGAGATTTACGAGGTTGCTGCCTGGACTGGAGAGCAGGTCTTATGAGTAAAGGTTGAGGGAGCTGGGGCTTTTCTCATTGGAGCGAAGAAGGGGGAGAGGTGACTTGATAGAGGTGTACAAGATGATGAGAGGCATTGATAGAGTGGATAGCCAGAGACCTTTTCCCAGGGCAGAAATGACTATTACAAGGGGGCATAATTTTAAGGGGATTGGAGGAAGGTATAGGGGAGATGTCAGGGGCACGTTCTTTACATACACACACACACACACAGAGAGTAGTAGGTGTGTGCATTGCGCTGCCAGCAGTGGTAGTGAAGTCAGATACATTAGGGACATTTAAGCGACTCTTGGATAGGCACATGGATGATAGTAAAATGTAGAATATGCAGGTTAGTTTGATCTTAGAGTAGGATAATAGGTCGGCACAACATCGTGGGCTGAAGGGCCTGTACTGTGCTGTACTTTTCTATGTTCTATGTTCTATGTTCTAGGTATGGTCTGACAAGTGCCTTGTATTGTTTTAGCTTTGTCGAGTTTTGCTACTTTACTTTCATACTCCGTTCCCATTGTCCTCACCATTGCCTTCCCACCTGTTTTTGTTTTTTTGCATCATTCACAAGCCTGGTGGTACGCCTTCATTTCCTCATCCAAGTCATTAGAAGTGTGGTAAATATTCGTGGCACTGATTCCTTTGGCACCCACTAGTTAATCTGGATTAGCTACAGGTTGCCAATCTTAATATGTCCCTCTTATCCCAACTCTCTCTATTGGTTAACCAATCCCATATCCACGCTCATATACTGTTTCCAACACTCTAGGCTCTTATTAAGCAGCACTTGTGCAGTTGAATGACTTTTGGAAATCTAGATACATGACTTCTACTGGGTCCCCCTCCTCTATCCTGTTTGCTACCTCTTCAAAAAGCAGTATTAAATTTGTCAGACACAATTACCCTTTCCCTTCAATCATACCGATTGTTTAGACATGTGACAAAATCAAACACTGTTACTGCATCCTTTATAACCAATTAATATTTTTTCCACTAGCAGGTGTTAAGCTAACTGACTATATTTTTATCTCCGTTTTCTGAATAAGGGCGTTACCTTGGCAGATTTCCAATCATCTGGGATTTTTCCAGTGCATCCACCAACTCTGGCTATTTACCATTTTTTTTAGCCTCATTAGTTTCTCTAGACCTTTCTCACTAGTAATAGTTATCCTCATGCTCTCCCAGTCTTTTGACCCTTGATTATTTAGCGATTTTGGAAATCTATTAACATCCTCTACTATGGAAACTGATGTCAAATTATTATTCAACTCTTCTTCCATTTCCTGATTCCCTATTATCCTCATTCCTAAGGGACCCATTTTCATTTTGACCTCTCATAGAAATCATAGCACAGAAGAGGCCATTCAGCCCATCAAGACTGTATTTTCTTGGTGGTACAATCTACACTAGGCCCGTAGCCTTGAATATTATGACACTTCAAGTACTCATCCAAGTATTTTTTAAAACTGTTGAGGTTTCCTACCTCAACTATCCTCTCAGCCAGTGCATTCTGGAGACCCACCATCCTCTGGGTGAAAAACATTTTCTTCAAATTCTTCTAAACTTCCTACCTTTCACTTTATCCAAAAAAATGTGCCTCTTGCTCTTGACTCTTCGATAAAGGGCAACAGCTGTTTTCAATCCATACTGTCCATGACTCTCATAACATTATACACCTGTCTGAGGCATCCCACCACCTCAAATCTTCTCTGATCTAAAGATAGCAACCCTAGCTTATCCAGCCTCTTCGTACTTGAAATGCTCCATCCCAAACAACATCTTGGTAAATCTTCTCACTGCACCTTCTGCAATGCAATCATATTCTTTCTATAATGTGGAGACCAGAATTGCACACAGTACTCCAGCTGTGGCCTAACCAAAGTCCTGTACAGCTCCAACAAAACCTCACTGCTCTTATAATCTACACTGCAACTGATAAAGGCAAGCATCCCATACACCTTCTTAACTACCCTATTTGCCTGTTCTGCCACTTTAAGGGATCTGTGGACAAGCATTCCAAGATCCCTCTGACCTTCAGTGTCCTATCATTCATCAAATACTCCCTGGTCTTGTTAGTTCTCTCTTCCTATTTATATATTTAAATAAGCAAAAGAAACTTGCTCTATTCACTGATTTTTTCAGTTATGGCTGATTAATAATATCAGCCTTTTCCCAACTGGTTGGTAAGAGTTTAACTTGTCTATATTGCCAGAATTCTCTCTCCTTCCTTTCTGGAAAAGTGGTGTTTAACCAGTGGCAACTTCAAGTCTGAGGGGACTGCTCTCAGAACCCAGGAACTTAGAAAGGTCAGAGCTGAATAGATTAAGAAAATCAAATGGCCTGTTCTTTTGGGACACGCTTAAGAGCGAATTGGGGAAACAGGGCATCATAGCTTTTCCCCACCATGTACATAAGAATGGTTTTACCTTTCTGCTCCTCTCTGCATGGAAGGTCTCAGAAGCAGGAGGCAGCATCACTAAGAGGAGTGGTTAAGATGACAATCCTGAGACATGCAGTCAGCATTGCTGAGAGGAATTGGTAGGTTAGGGCTCCAAGGCAAGCTGACGGAGTGAACTGGATTCATCAGAGCTGATTTAAATTCATTGTCCTCTACTTCAATGGAAGTGTCTAGCTGTATTTGGGGAGTCTCTCGTAAGTAGTTCAAGGCTTTTCTAATCTTAAGTTTTAGCATGGTGTGCAAGTTGTTGGGAAAGTGAATATTAAATAATTAAAACTCCAATAATAATTATGGGTGGCTTTAAACTATATATAAATTGGTAATAGTGGCTTGAAGAGGCCATAGAAATTATTCAGAGTTTCTTAGAGCAGCATATTCTGGAACCAACCAGAAAATGTGTCACATTAGACTTGGTATGGTGTAATGTGACAGGATCAACTAATGACCTGAGTAAAGATACCAGCAGATAGCAGCAACCACCATAGGATTGAATTATACAATTTCAAATGGTAAGTACCAAATCTAAATAACTATAAATATATGGGTGCAATAAACTGAACTAGCTGAAGTGAACAAACATACTACTTTAGGGAATAGATCAATGCAGACACACAGTGATACTCATTTAAGGGGCTATTTCAGGATAACTATGTTCCTAGCACAAAGAAAAATTCCAAAGGAAACCCACCATCCATGGTAAACTACAGCAGTTAAGGAAAGCAACAAAAACTTAAAACAAAAAGCACACAACTGGACTAAGATGATTGGCAGGTCAGGTGACAGGCCAGAATATTGAGATTGACCTTTTATTCTTAGTCAATCAGGAGAAAGAAATTAGAGTATAAAAGAATGCTCACTAGAAAAGAAATGTATAAAAGGTTATGAGAGGCATGGACAAGGTGAAAAGTAAGCA